CACCTCCCAGAATGGCCGCCATCAACAAATCATCAAGCAACAAAGTTCTGGGGAGGGTGTGGAGAAAAGGGGACTCTAGTACACTGCTGGTGAGAATGCAGACTGGTGCAGCCACTATGGAAATCAATATGGTGTTACCTCAAAAAATTAAAAATTAAAGTGCCATTTGACCCAGTGATCCCGCTTCTAGGACTATACCCTAAGAAGCCTGAAACACCAATCAGAAAGAATATTTGTACCCTGATGTTCATAGCAGCACTATTTACAATCGCTAAGATCTGGAAACAGCCCAAGTGTCGATCAATAGATGAGTGGATAAAAAAGCTGTGGTACATATACACAATGGAATACTAAGCATGTGTAAGGAAGAAAGATCTCTTATCCTTTGAGATGACATGGAGGGACCTGGAGAGTATTACGCCAAGCGAAATATGCCAATCAGAGAAAGACAAGTATCACATGATCTCACTTATTTTTAGAATATAATAAACAAAATAAGCTGATGAACAAAATAGACCCAGAGACACAGAAGTAAGGATCAGACTGACTAACCTCAGAGGAAAAGGGGAGGAGGCGTGGAAGAACTTATATGCATATATGCATAACCAGTAGACATAGAAAATAATACTGCAAAGGGGGTGTTGGGAGTGGGGAGGAGGTTGTCAATGGGGGAAAAAGAAGAAATATCTGTAATAAAATTAATTAATTAAAAAAACAATGTGAATTGAATTAATCTGTTCCAGATCCACAAATGATTCCCTGTTTTAACCTTTCTTATATACAGTACATGCCTCGTGTACTGTTTAATCTATAAACAAACACTTCTTTTCTTAAATTTATGGAACCACTCCCTACTAGCCTTAAAGGAATCACTTTCAGCACTCGTTCCAGGGGTGTTTTTCAGGGTGGCATGCAGCATCTCCACTTTTTCACAAATCACTGCCTTGGAATTACTGTCACCAGCTAACTGATTTTCATTTATCCAAATTAACAACAGTTTTTCTACCTCTTCAATTGCCTGTCATCATTGTTTCTTTCACACCCTTAGCAACATTAACACTCTTGACGGCCTCTTTATGTTTTAAAGTTGTGCTAATCATTGCTAATCATCCATTTCACCAGCAACAAAAGCATTATCCCCTGTTAGCTGCCTGAGAGAAGCTTTCTGTCATGCTGATATATCAGCATGGAAAGGGCTCCCAGGTAGAGTTTTGTTCCACAGCCAAGATATTTTTTCCATGAACAACTTGGTGGAGAAGGGAACTGTTCAAGATGCCAGAACTGAGGTTTGACTGTAATTGTGTTAGTGTTTCCCTCCACCTGAATACTGTGAAAATACAGACTAAATCTTCCTCTTTGGATACTCACAGAGGCTGACACAAATAGACCCAGCAAACAGTAAACCCAAATGGAAGGAATAAGAGACATGGGGCAATGTCACTGGCACAGCTGCTTCAGGTCAGTCAGCACCACTGGTAGTCCACCAGTGTGAACCAGAACCAAGGCAGCTCTTCATTGTAAGAAATACTACCACTCCCTGCCCCCACCCCTGTAAAACCTGTTCAACCCTGTGCTGCATAGTGTGAAACCTGCAGCTCTGCTTTAGGTGCTTCTCAGTCATCTCAGTCTTGGGTTAGCAAACTTGATGTGATAGAAAGAAAAGTAGATTTGGTCAGGTTTGGATTCATATCTACTGTAGATGTAACCATGGCTCTTATAACTGTGCCATACTGTTCAATGTAATATAGGAGGTAGCATCCTCTCTTCAGCTAATTCATCAGGAGAATGCTATGAGAAAAATACAAATTATCTATGACAATTTATGGGTTACTAGGAAAAATATAAAACTCTAGTATTGATATACAGTGGAACCTCAGTTCTTAAACTTAATTTGTTCCAGAAGGCTGTTTGAGAAGCGATTTGTTAAAAAAACCAAACCAATTTTTCTCATTAGAAATCATGTAAACTGAAGTAATCCATTCCAGCAACAAAAGCAAAACACATGAAAATATTCACAGCACAATTTCTCAAGATATTAATGTTGTGAGATTTAGCAGTAAACTGATTCATACTCGCAAATTATCTCGTTTGTCACCTGAGAGACGTGTGACTGATCATACAGGTGTCAGCATAAAAGGGTTGTCAGGTCAATAACCCAAGTTTTGTTTGACAACCAAGACACCCCCCACAAGATACACACTCACAAACACACCATGAACAACTTGGTCAAGAACCAAACTGTTCAAGGAGACGTTTGAGAACCAAGGTTTGAATATAGTGTGAACAGCTTCTCTATAAAGTCACACCCAGTCAGTGTCATAAATTCATTATTAAAAAAAAACACTGTTTATAAATGAGTTACATTATTCTGTTTTGTTTTTTCCTCTTGGCTAAGATGTAATAGTTTTGCTTATACTGATTTGGCTTTATAGCAACCAGTGGTATAGCAAGGTTCTAAACTACATAACAATACCTATCACATTATTATATATCATATATGCCATATATTATGCATGTCATTTTAAAAATAAGTAAGTATACATATATTAACGATATCATTACATCACTGCTCTTTGACATTTTAAAAATTTTGGCCTTATTTATTTCATTAATGTCAAATGTCTCATACTGAAGAATGTTATACTTGCCTCTTTTAAAGGATCAAATTTAAACTGTTTTCAGTTTCAAACTGCACCTAGAACAGACACTGATGGTTTTAGAAAAGAAAAGAAAAGCAATACCTGGAGGTTAAAGAAAGGTGATTGCAGTGAATTAGCCAGCTTTCAGACTACTGAGGCAGAGTCATCACCCTGGAGTGTTCCCAGTGGAGGGAGGAAGCAGCTCTGGGGAACTAAGAAGCTCCTGTGATAGTAACTAATACTTACTGAGTGCCCACTATGGCACAGGCACTTTACCCAGGCTCTTTCATTAACCTTCATTAGCCCTGCAAGGTAGATACCATCCCTTGATCTTCTTACATCTAACAAATCTGACGTTCAAAGAGGTTAAGTAACTATAGCTAGTTTGCTAAAGAACTGGAATTTTAACCTAAACTGGCCTGATTTTTTTTTTTTTTTTTTAATCTTCACCCGAGGACATTTTCCCATTGTTCAGGTAGAGTGGGAGGGAGAGAGAGGAACAGAGAGAGAGAAACATCGATGTGAAAGGAACACATCGAGTGGCTGCCACCCACACGACCGACCAGGGCTGGGGACAAACTGCAACCAAGGTACGCGCCCTTAGCGGGAACCGAACCCGGGTCTCTCAGGACCGCAGGTTGACGCTCTAACCGCTGAGCCAAACCGGCCAGGGCTAAACTGGCCTGATTTAAGAGCTGTCTTTTCCAAAACATTACACTACCCAGAGAGATAAGCAGCTGGGTTTTCCAAGCTATTTTCTCTAAGAGTTCTTGTTGCCATTCTTTTCTCTCTCACCTCCCACATCTGAGGGTCTGGGCTGTCAACTCACTGCTCTCTTGATCAAGAGCACTGAACTTCACTTTTCTCTCCCTCCTCACTCCTGAAGTCAAAAAGGTTATCCCCTCAGGCAATGTTTTTCTTTTATTTATTTATTTATTTTTATCCTCACCCAAGGATATTTTTCCATTTTTTGTACAGATAGAGTGGGAGGGAGAGAGAGTGAGAAACATCGACGTGAAGGGACACATCGAGTGGCTGCCACCCGCACGACCAACCAGGGCCGGGGACAAACTGCAACCGAAGTACGTGCCCTTAGTGGGAACCGAACCCGGGTCTCTCCGGACCGCAGGCCGATGTTCTAACCGCTGAACCAAACCGGCCAGGGCTATAAAGCTTTCTTTTTATCCTCACCCGAGGACATTTTTCCATTTTTTTTTGTTCAGGTAGAGTGGGAGGGAGAAGAGGAACAGAGAGAGATACATCGATGCGAATGGGACACATCGAGTGGCTGCCACCCGCACGACCAACCAGGGCCGGGGACAAACTGCAACCGAGGTACATGCCCTTAGCGGGAACCGAACCCGGGTCTCTCTGGACTGCAGGCCGACGCTCTAACCGCTGAGCCAAACCGGCCAGGGCCTTCTTTTAAAATTTAGTACAAATTCATTAGTGAGTCAAAAAATTAATTTAACAGACTGAGACTAGCTTTTAAAACATGAAATAAAACTCAAAACAGAGGGCATAACAAATGGTATCGGTATTTTTGTAAATTTTTGTTTTAGTTACATGATTGTGTTCAGCATGAAATAATGTGTTTCATTTTGAAAGCATGGTGCCCAGGCTAGTGTTGCTCAGTGGTTAGAGTGTCAGCCCGAACACCAAAGGGTCACAGGGTTTGATTCTTAGTCAAGGGCTTGTACTTGGGTTCCAGGTTTGATCCCCTGCCCCATCCCAGATCCAGCCCGTGAAGGAGGCAATCAATCAATGTGATCCCCACCCTCCTTTCTCCCTTCCACTCTAAAAATCATGGAAAAAACATCCTCAGGTGAGGATTAACAAAAACAAAAAACTGTTAAGGTTTCCTGACTTAAAAGCCATCTTTAGAGGGCAGGGACTGGGTAGAGGCAGGCAAAGGGGGCGAAAATGGGGACATCTGTAATGGTCTCAACAATAAAAAAGTTAAAAAAAAAAAAAGCCACCTTCAGCCTCAGAAAACCGATAGACATATTTCCACTAATCTTAAATGTGGTAAAAATGTGCAGAAAATGATCTTTACAAAGTCCAAGTCTCAAATTATTTTTATTTGATCTAAACTAGCAAAGGTTAACCTCTGATTCATTGCAATCTAAATCAAATGATACCACAAAACTCTTCATCAATTTTCTAACGAGTAACAGGTGGTCCCATTAGCTCAAATATTATCTGATATAACTAAATTCTAGGAAAGTTATTCCTTTGGAGTTCTTTATAATGGGTTAGATAGTAGTAGCTGAAAACCTATATCCAACAAACCACAGGGAGTAAAGGCAATTAACACTTACCTTCTGGAAATTTCAAAATCAAATGCTTTTGAAAACTTACTTTCATATTTATCCTTTCCCATGTAAATAGTGTAAGCAGATGAGTTAACTAAGACAAAACAAAAACAAAAAGTGGTTAGATAACTTCATCACCAAAGTGTTTCATGGGAAAAACAAGTGACAAATGCTTAGACTTGGGGTTGGCAAAAAATATGGCCCATAAGCCAAATCCAGCCCTATTTTTGGACAGCCCTCAAGCCAAGAATGATTTTTACATTTCAGCAGGTTGAAGAAAGCGAAATAAGGAAGCACAGGCTATAGAGATGCAGCTCACAAAATCTAAAATATTTATTATCTGGCCCAAACAAAATTTTTAAAATAAAAAACAGCTATTTTCCTTGACAGAGTTCAATGCAATTCCAGTTCAGTCCTATACTTTTGCCTTCATCAAGAGAATTTTCAAAGAAAAAAAAACAAAACACCTTCACCTCAATTATTTAAAAATAGGTTCCTATACTTAGTCAAGTTTTAGTTTTCATAATTTTATTTAGCCAATATTAAATTATATTCCAGGGGTGCTGCAAATTATACTGGGCTCCCTGTCCCATTCTGGAGAAAAGGCTCTTAAACTTCTAAATCAGTGGCTCTGAACCTTGATTACATATGAGAATCACCTAATTATGCCTCAGCTCCACTTAAGACTAATGAAATCCTAATGGGGGAGGGAGGAGCGTTGGTATTTTTTTATTTTTTATTTTTATTTTTTTTGGTATGTGCCCCTAGCAGGAACCAAACCTGGGACTCTCCGCAGGTTGGGAGCGTTGGTATTTTTAAAAAGATCTCCAAGTGAGCCCAGCCGGTGTAGCTCAGTGGTTGAGTGTCGACCCATGCACCAAGAGGTCACCAGTTCGGTTCCTGGTTGGGGCACATGCCCAGGTTGTGGGCCCTATCCTCAGTAAGGGGCATGCAGGAGGCAGCTAATTGATGTTCTCTCTCATCGATGTTTCTCTCTCTCTCTTTCTCCTCTCCTCTCCTCTCCTCCCTCTCTAAAATCAATAAAGAAAAAAAAAAAAAAAGATCTCCAAGTGATTCTAGTGTGAAGTCAGTGTTAGGAACCACTATCCTAAACCAAACCACATATTCCAGGTATGGCTCACCTTAGGAATGACATTTATTTACTGAGCTAGTGTGTTTTAAACAGGGCATGCTCCATCTGAAGTCAAACAAAAGTCGTTTCCTAATTGGAATTCTAACTGGGTACTGGGTTTCCAAGCTAGTCTACCCAAACTTATTTGATCCCATTTGAATCTAAACTCCTGAATTAGTAGTTACTGGGTTCTCAGTCTACAAAGCCTGACAAACAGGTGCAAGGTTGGGCTAGGCAGTCTGTTGGCTGTTGCTCCACATGTGGGCAGAGCTCTGAAGGCCAGGGAGCAGCACTCTTTCATTATAAATTCTAAAATTCGGGGTTGCCTGTACTTTCAGTAATGAAACACTTCTTAAGTTATCAATTGTAGTTGCCTCTCTTGGGGAGGGAAAACTCCTAATTTCTTCAATTAGCAGTTATAATGACTACAGTCCATAATTACTGGGATGGAAGTAGTTGAGGGCAGTACCTTGAAAGGAGAGAATGTTTGTATTGACTAGTTGACAAAACTTATCTATAATTGAGCATTATATTAGCTTGATAAGGACTTAGCATGGCATATAACAAATGCCAAAAGTGCAGGAATCAAACAAAAAAGTATTTCAGATTCTCTCTGTACAACCTGGCAATATTATATGTGTATACCCTTTTGATCCCATAATGTCATCACTAGGAATATATCCTACTAATTAAATACCCCATCAAGCAGTGATGTTCTTTTTACAACCCAAGCACTAATTAAGACTGGTTAAACACATTATAGTATATCCATAAACAAAATGCCATATACCCACTGAAAAGAAAGGGACACAGTATTTTTGTGTCTCTATATACAGTAAGATTCAGTTTGTAAAAAATAAATATGTAATTGAGTATGCACACACGTTTACATATATATTCTCAATATATACACCCATTTTTCTTTATACGTATGGAAATATATATATCTTAACAATAGTTACCTTAGCTAGTTTGCTTACAAAATATACAGATGGTTTTTGCAATCAGAACAAAAGTAATTTTTTTAAATGATTAAAATAAAATAAAGCTGTCTCTGTGTAGGCCAAGTTATCTAACTTACAACCAAGAGAATGACACGATTGTTTGGATGGTTGACCCATAAAATAAGGTGATTAAGAACATAACTGCTACTAACCCAAACTGAGAGGCATTCTACAAAATAATTCTTCAACTAACAGTGTCATGAAAGATAAGCCTGAGTAAATGCTCCAGATCAGAAAAGACTAAAGAGTAAATGAATGACAACTGAATTTTCCTGTTATAAATACATTATTAGGACACAGATGAAAACTGAGTAAAAGCTGATTAGATGATAGTATTGTTGCAATGCTAATTTGCTAATGAAGAATGTCTTTTAATAAGAGAATATCCTTGATTTTAGGAAAAAAAAATACTAAGTATTTCGGGGTAAAATGCAATGTACTAACAAACAGTTCAGGAAAAAAAATTGTGTGTGTGTGTAGAGAGAGAGAAGAGGGAATTTAAAATAAGGCAAAGGTTAGAATTTGGTTAGAAAAGGTAAATATCAGAATTTGGGGAATCTAAGAGAAGGATATAAAGGAAATCTTTTACTATTCCTGTAACTTCTCTGAAAGACTGAAATTATGTCAAAATAGAAAATTTAAATTAAAAATGAGCAAGAAGTATGAATTAAAACTCCTGTCTATGTTTTAAAAGATAAAAGAAAAATAAACTGAATTATCTTACTGCTGTTATTCTCACCCTAATAATAGGGTTGATTAGTATGGGAACTAGTCATCTTGAAGATACCTGATTCAGGTGTAGCAACCAATCCAACTTTAGAGGCTCTGTGATAATTTCATAATTTACAGAAGGATCTATCCTAAAATAGACACTATTTTTTTTTTATCCTCACCCAAGGACATTTTTCCATTTTTGTTCAGATAGAGAGGGAGGGAGAGAGAGGAAGAGAGAAAGAGAGAAACATCCACGTGAAAGGGACACATCGAGTGGCTGCCTCTCGCACAACCCCAACGGGGGCGCACAACCCCAACGATGCTATTAAAAGGTACTAAAAGTACAAGTGGACTCAACGAGCAAAGTGCAGGTATTTTGTGGGTCCATGAAACAGATGGTATTAAATCTGACACAAAGCTAATGTTTCATTATGCCATTATGAGAAAGCATACAAGAATAGAATTGAACAGATTTTAGTCAGAGATACTAATCTTAAAAGGAAAGGCAAATACTTTCTATTGAGATTTTTCTCCCCATTTTTATTTAAAAAAAATTTTTTTTTCTTTATTGATTTGTAGAGAGAGAGGAAAGAAGAGGGAGAAATAGAAACATCGATGAGAGAGAACATCGATTTGCCGCCTCCTGCATGCCCCGTCCACTGGGGATCAAGCCCACAACCTGGGGGTATGTGTCCTGACTGGGAATCGAACTGGCGACCTCTTGATGCATGTCGACTTTCTCCCCATTAAAAAAAAAAAAGTTTTATGCAGTAACCACTTAGTTGAAAAGCTTGGCTATCTGTACAAATTCATTTCCTGAAGACTCTGCATTTCAAGTTATTTTCCATATTGGTATATGTTGTTTAACTATTTCACTGGAAAAGTTATAATTTTTCCATTAACTTTGCATTTTTAAAGATTTACTGCACAAGCGTAGTTTTATTAGACTTAGAGGCTAAATATTTTTCCAACAGGAGGCAGTTCTGATATTATCATGGAAGCCAATGAGAAAAATATGATCCACAAATCTGCTAAAGTACTCAGTTCTATTAAGGACACCTATATATGTATGACTAGTGCTCAAAGAATTTGGAATAGCTTTAAGTAGACTAAAGCAGCTAGCATAAAATACATTTATTACATGTATTACCTGTATACCCTGCCAGTACTTTTAATTCCCTTCTGAGCTTGTAGAGGTATCTATGTTGTTGGGGACTTTTCTGAATGGAGAAGCTACAAAGAGATGCTCAAGTTATCTTATGACAGAGAAAGGAAAACAAGACAGAGGAAGGATTGAAAATGCTATCAGCATCCTATAATGATTTTTTTCAGGCTAGTTTGAATTTTGTGTCTAGTAATTTTAATAATATGGGTAAGACAAACCAAATCTACAGAGGCAGAGAAATAGCACATGGCACACCGTGGAAGTCTAAACTACTGAGAAGAATAATGAGATGTGACAGTGTAATTGAGTAGAAGGGGTGGTTGTGGGGGTCTGTTACCTACAACTTCTCTGGGCCTCAATGTTCTCATCTCCAAAGAGAAAGTACCACCCTATTCAAACCCACACAAACAACCTGGAGCTCACCTTTCACAAGCAAGCAGAAACAGCGCAATAAATAGTGTGTTATGATTAAGTAAACAGGTAACCTTTATTTACTCAACAAGCATCTACTGAGTAACCATTATGAGCCAGGCACTATGCTAGGGAAAAAGATAAAGGAGATCCTGTCCCTGTCTTCAAGGGGTTTCCACTCTAGCTCAAGCAGACAGCGTTTAATACCATAACTGCAATGCCAAAGGTATCCACGGAGGGGGTCCCCGAAGAGGCATACCTTAGTAATCCCTGGGTGGGAGCCCGGTCGGGACAGGCATTTGAAAAAGATAAGCCAGGGCTGTCTTCAGGGTGTAGCAGTAAACTGGGGGTGGATTCTAGCAAAAGGAATAACAAGCAGGGAAACGAAGTCTAGACACTGCGTTTCTTGGGAACTAACAGCACCCTTTCCTTGACTGCCAACGACAAATCAGAAACATCATCACACGTCACTTTTCAAGACCTGGGACATCAATTCTGCCCAGTGAGTGGCTTTATTACCATACTAGGGTCTTTTCACTGCTTCCTGTTGCATCCCAGCCCCTGCAGCCCTTTCCTGGAAGGGTAAGGCGTGCTTGCCTTAAGGAAGAGTTGTTGGCAGGTGTCTCCTGTTTTTTCTTCCTTAAATCAAAGTGCATAATTACCAGGGCACAGCCAGAATAAAGGCCACGGGTGTGTGGGGGGTGGAGTCCTGAAATGGGGCGTGGAGAAGCCCACACACTGCCCCATTCCAGGTAACGACGGAGGTCTTCCCGGCTGAAGCGAGAGGACACTCGCGGGTGCAAAGACCGCAGACGGGGAGTCCCTCCGCGCCCCCCGGGCTGATGAGGGGGCACTCGGGGACCACAGGGACGTATACCACAGGAACGGATACCGCAGGGGACCGAGGGGGCGCGGGAAGAGGCAGCCAAGGCGGAGGAGGCGCTTTAGGACGACGTCCAAGCTCCGCGACGGCCTGGGGGTTCCCGGCTTCGGAAACCCCAGGCACCGTGGAGCAGGGAGCCCGGAGGTCGCGGCGCCCACTCACCGCTGCCGCTGCTGCTGCTGCTGGTGAAGTAGAACACCATGATCTCGGCGGCGGTGCAGCCACTCCAGTGTGGCGCTGCAGCACCCAGTTCTCGAAGCTCTGGACAGCAGACGCCGAGGCCGCCGGGTCCCTGGAGCGCCCCGTGCACTTCCGGCGGACGTTGGGTCGCGTCATAACGCCGGCCTGCCGGCGCCATCTTTGATGCTGGCGAGGAGGCGGGTGTTGGCGGAGGCTAGGGTATTCCAGGGGTGGGAGAGGGGTGCCAGGACAACGGGCGACCGCAGAGCTGGGGGAAACGCCGACTCCTTTCCCTTTTGATTGAATTTATTGGGACGATTTTAGTTAATAAAATTATATAGGTTTTAGGGGTAATTGTGTAATATACATCTGTATTTGTATTGTGTGTTCACCATCCCAACTGAAGTCTCCATCACCATTTATCCCCCATACCCACTTCTACCTTCCCCCACCCCGTTGAAATACCATCATTTTAAAAGAAAAATGCCTTTAGCTACCTTTATTTTCAGAGCCTTCACCCAGGGGCGGTTATCTTCTTCCCCTCACACCCACATGGGCTCCCCGCGGGCAGAAAACTGTCGGCTTCTTCAAGGCCGGGTGTTGACTGCGCCAATCGCGGTACTTGACATTTCTTAGTTCATTAAATTTTTAATGAACTCAAGTTCCTTCACTATTGTCATTCTAGCTCCACTTGTAAAGCGCATATTTGGGCACCTCTGTACTACACTTACTTCATCTGCACAATGAAGATGAGTAGGGCAGGTAATTCATAGATAATTCGGCTAGGGTTAAATAAGTTAATAGGAAAGGGTTAGGAGTGAGTTGTTAGTAATATTCCCCACAGGCAATACGCCTCTTAGACTTGGACTAGGACTGTTCTGCCTTTAAATCCGCCAACTGTTACCTGGAAGACGGGGCAAACTCCAGAGCTGTGAACCTCGGACATCTTCCTGCGGTCATGACCTTACTCCCCTAAAGCTCACACATTCCCTAGCTTTGACCTATTTCTCTTGTTTCATTCCGACCGACTTCATTCTGTGAAGTTGAGTGCATCGCTTAAGATTGTTTAGACCTAAAAATGTCCCAGAGAGAGTGCCAGGAGCTGGTCGCACAAAGATAAAGGCGACAGCTAACCATCCAGGAGTGCTTTAGGAACGTGCCAGCTCTCCAAAGCAAGAACCTAGTGATGTCCTGCAAATAGTCATTGTTTTCGGTTTTATTCTCTGTAAAATGGGAATGATAATGCAAATTTCACATATTGTGATGTAAAGTAAATGAAACTGCCCTGGCCGGTTTGGCTCAGCGGTTAGAGCGTCGGCCTGCGGTCCCGAGAGACCCGGGTTCGGTTCCACTAAGGGCAGGTACCTCGGCTGCAGTTTGTCCCCGGCCTGGTTGGGTCCTGCGGGCAGCCACTCGATGTGGTGATGTTTCTCTTCCCCGCTCTCCCTCCCACTCTATCTGAACAAAAATTAGAAAAATGTCAAGGATAAAAAAATAAATGAAATGAAACAGGAATACCTGGCACATAGCCATGATTTAAATTTTAAAATTTAACTTGAAAAAAAGTTTTTAAATGAGCTAGAAACCTACATCTTACAAAAGTTTAACGCTAAAGCTTCAAATTTAAAATGTAACTGCCACGAGAATCTCGGATAGGCTACTTTACAAAATCTTCTTACACCAAGTGACCCCAGAATGTTCAAGCGGGCACCTTTATTCTACGGAAAACTACAATTCCCAGAATGCACCTAAGCACGCCCCGGGGAATGGAACCCCGGCTTGGCCGCGAGGGATAGTGGATGGCAAGGTTTTCCGAAGGGAGGGTTTCGCCTCCCAAGGGCGGGAGACTCTTGGAGACCGCCCCTTGAGTGGGAGGGGCAGTAGCCAATATGTGACCAATCATCGAGCCAGTTTCTGGAAGCGCTGAGAGGCGGCGAATCAGAACGCAATAGCTTCAGCCTTGCCTGGCGCGCGATAATTTGAATACAGCGGCAGAGCTACCGGCCTGACGGAGGAGAGGTCGCCGGCTCTGAGGTGCAGGTAATCGCTGCCGGGGGCTGAGGCGTGGGTTGGAGCTCTGAGGCGAACCTGGGTTCTGTAGAACGTGCTGGGGTGGATGTCAAGGGAAACAGAACTTTTGTTCCAGGCTTCGCGCGCCGGCGGCTGGAGACCGAGCTCCCAGCCAGTTCTCCGCACCTCCAGGTCACTGGGTTCCCATCTTCGCGACGCCGGAGTTTTGTTTTGTTTTGTTTTTGCTCTGAAAGGTATTCTTTTCCTCGTCCAGCCTGAGAAGGGTCTTCCCTCAAGCCGCAGCCGGACACGAATCCCCAGAGACCCTGGTCTTTCAGTTTGCTTACCGTCGAGATCGCACTGTGGCATATAAACAAGTAGACCCGGCCCGCAGGAAGGGGAGGGGAAGCGGCTGCCGGGCAGCGTGCCGTCTGCTCGGGAGTTAGGCTGCGCGACTGCTTATCCTCAGCCGCCTTGGAGGTCAGGGCGTTGTAGGAAAGGAGACAAGCTCCGGGGTCCAGGCTGCTCGGCTAGAGAAACAGAGGGTTATGCTTCCCCCGTTTCCTCGCTGGACTCATGGACGATAAAAACGTTCGCTTTATTGGCTAGCCGGGCTGTGGAAAACCAGCTACACCAACAGGAAAAGTGGAACACTGGGGAAGCGTAGACGGGATGGAAGCCAGGGCAGCGTCTCAGGCGGCGGGGCGATGGCGGCTCGGCGGGGCCGTGAAGTTTGCCCTGGGTATGGATTAACCAGGCTGCTCAGAGGGGACGGACAGCCTGCCCTGAGCGGGAACAAGACACTTTCTTTTTGGTAGGATCATTTTCCAGCTCGAAGCATAGGTACTGTCCCTGCTTGTATTTCCTGTCCTAATGCTACTGTGAGGTAGTGTTTTTCCTTTCCTTTTTTTTACCTTCATAGTTTCAGTCTTTTCAAGTGATTTGCTTCTTTAAAAAAAAAAAATAATAATAAAATTTTCTTGGATCTTGATGGACCATCCCCGTCTGAACACTTTTTCAAACTCTTAAAGGTATAATTTTGACGTAAGGGTTGTTATGTACATCGGAGGAATTTGGTTGTTATAATTGTCCTGTTGCTTTTAGGAGTTCAGTTAAGAAGATGCCAGCTTTTACTCCAAGGAAAAGGAAGCAGAACTCTTTGAACTGTGACAAGTGAGTCTCATCCTATGGGGGGAAACTCTTAAAAAAGAAATTCGCTTTCCTTTCTTACCTTCTCTTAAAATTTCCGTTCTTCCACTGGCCTACTTCTTGTGGCTATAGTAATATTTTGTATTCTAATTCTAGTCTGGAACGACTATAAGCTTTCATAATTAATTATGCTTTTGCAGGGAATCACAGAAAGAGCTGTTTACTATGGCTTCGAAATGTATGTCAAATCTTTCATTACCTTGCTCCTTTCTGCTTGGTAATACTTAACGTAGTGTTTTACATACAGTAGATGCTCGGCTGTAAGCAGTCCTAGAAAGACTGTGTACTCCGTACTTCCTACGTGTTACACCAGATATAAATTACTCCCCACAGAATAGGCCCTAATTACATAGAATTAATCATGTTAGGGGACTTGTAGCCACTCAAGCAAAGTATATGGGCTGTAATTTGTATATGGCCAGGACTTTGAAATAGATTTTAAAACACAGATGCACACATACACATGTATCTCAAAGCTTCTATGTAAACAGTGTTTTCACAAACACTGTCTTTTGAAAAATATTTGAATGCTGTGTTTGGTAAAAACAGAACTTGAGAATCCTACTGTTAAACTAATAGGTAATGTGTATGGATGGATGTTTGGTGGAGAGGATGTATTGTTTTTTTAGTGTGACCTATAGGTCAAATTGTTTACTACTTAGCAGTAGATTGACATAAAATATTGAATATTATTGAATATTGAATATAACAATTCTTATCAATGGACTTTGTTTCTTTTTATAGCCTATTATCAGACATTCCATCAAAGAAATTAATTTTGGACTTGACTGAAAATATATGTTCATCACCTAATAAACACATTTGCCAAAGCAGTGATGAAAATAAAGAAAAGGTGCATGGCCCTCAACAAGGCCATTTCATTTCAAGTCGGCTTAGAACAACTAAAGATAGATTTCTATCTGCAAATCAAGGTTCACCTTTTAAATCTTGTGTGTCTACGGTATCCTTTTACAACAAAAACAAGTGTTACCTCAATCCATTGGAGAGAAAAATGATAAAAGAGAGTAGATCCACTTGTCTAAAAACTAATAATGAAGATAAGTCTTTTCCCAGTGTGACAGAAAAAATGCAGGAAAAACCAGTCCGCTCCAAGAAGATGAAGAAAAAACCACAGAAGAATTTAACTGCTAAGTGCCAACCAAGTTATAAGTGCATCAAGCCTGTATCAAAGAATTCTAAAAATTCCAAGCAAAATCGAGTGGCCTACAAACCAATTATAGAGAAAGAGAACAATTGTTATTCAGCTGAAAATAATCTGAATGCTCCTCGAGTTCTAAGCCAAAAAGTCAAACCACAAGTAACAATCCAGGGTGGAGCGGCATTTTTTGTTAGGAAAAAATCATCTCTTAGAAAACCATCCCTGGAAAATAAGCCATTACTGGGACTCACCCAAGAGAATAAATCGGAAGTGATTAAAGATTTTGATGTAGAGACTGTCAATGAAAGAGAAAGTTTTAAGACAAGGCAAGTGCCAAAATGCTTATTACAAGAAAAGGAACTGAACATTGAGCTGCTGGGTACAAGAAGTAACAATGAAGATAAATTAAAAAAGGTAAAGAAAACTAAATATACTATTTTAAAAATTAAGTTGGCTATAGAACAAAACTTCAATATACACACTACATGTGTAACATAATTGAACAAAGTTGTATTTTCTTTGCAGTCTGGAGGACTGCTTTTTATAAAACCAAATAGTATACTTTAATCACTAGAAAGAATTTAAAGGCAGGATAGAAAGATGGGACATTTCTTCCCTTTTTGGCTTATGGAAGCCTACCAACATTAACTTGGCATTAAGGTGTACATTTTATTAAATTCCCTCATGACTAAACTACAGTCCAGAGAAGCTTAACAACTTATATGTAGTCAGTGTTTTTAGAAAGTAGAAATAACAAAATTCATGTAGTAGATTTTTAGAGTATGAGCATATTGTTTTTTGTTTGAGCTTACTATTTGGTGTTTGGGACCATGCTCCAACCAACTGAGCCACACTGGCCAGGGCTAGCTTATTATTTGAAGTACTAGATTATTCTAGAAAATTTAGAGAATACAGAAAATATAAAAAATGTATTTTCTGTAAACCTACTACTTGGAGATGATCACTGTTAACATGTAGTTAGTTGGGTTTTTGTTTATTGTATGTAGTATGTTTTCATGGTTGCCAGTCTGTGCTTTTTGATCTTGCTTATAAATTTAACATAGCCCAGATTAGGGCTGTCTGATAAAAATAGAATACCAGCCCTGGCCAGTTTGGCTCAGCGGTTAGAGCGTCGGCCTGCGGTCTGGAGAGACCTGGGTTCCGTTCCCGCTAAGGGCACGCACGTACTTCGGTTGCAGTTTGTCCCCGGCCCTGGTTGGTCGTGTGGGTGGCAGCCACTCGATGTGTCCCTTCACGTCGATGTTTCTCTCTCTCTCTCCCTTCCTCTCTCTCCCTCCCACTCTATCTGTACAAAAAATGGAAAAATATCCTCAGGTGAGGATAAAAAAAAAAATAGAATACCAACTGCATGTAATTTAAATCTTTCTCTGGCCATATTTTAAAAAGTTTAGCCCAATATATTTTAAGTGTTACCATTTTAATGTAATCAGTATTTAATGTTACTAATGAGATATTTTACCTTTTTTTCTTATACTAAGTCCTTTTTTTTCTCTTGCAGCATATTTCAGTTGGGACTAGCCAGTTCTAGCAAATTCTCATTAGCCACTTATAGACAATATAGGTCTACCCCTTCTACTGTTGACTTCCTATTAGTAATCTCATCAGAGAAAGGTTTTTTGTTTTGTTTTTCAGGTAACTAGGGACAGAAAGCAATTGAGGCAGCAGGCTTTAAGAAAGGCTGTTTTTCAGTTTGGGGCTTCCATGTCTATGATCACTTACTTATACTCATTACAGTCTTTGCAGCAGGAGAAATGATAGGCTTTCACAGACTGCCCAGTACACTCTGAGACTTATATATTGAGCAATTCAAACTTTTTATAGTCTGTTATCTCCTCACCTACTTCCTCTCATTGTTCTCTTAATTGCCTCCTCTCAAATTCAATCCCAGATCATACCTTTTGTAGCCACCTAAATTTTAAATCTCATTGGCAAAGATTATAAACTGGTGACCAGTGAACAAAATCCAGCCATGAATGTTTTGCTTGGCCTCTATTGTATTTAAAATTTTTGAGCAAGCATTCTTTTTTTAAATGTAAGAACAGATTTCTAGTGTTTCATGAAAAATTGAGGTCTGGCAAAGCTAAGCCCTCATTTCTGCATGGCAATAATCTCTCAGAACAGAGTTATCGGGTTACCATTTTGACACATATGGGTTCTTCATTTCCCTTCACTATATCAGCACACGTATACCTATTTAGATTAGTTTTGCTCTTATTTTTACTATTCTGCTCTTTTTGTTTTGCTATTAATTTTACTTACCTGCTGCACTTATAGGCATTTAAGTTTGTAGTTCCCATTATAAATATTATAAATGTTTCTTCCTGTTTCTCAAGTATTGCTAGTTATATATTGTTAAATAGAGTATGTTCTCGTGGCTAAGCAATGACAATCTAATTCTACCAATTCCTTATATTGTTTCTGCCAGCCTGCCCTCTCCCGCACCCCCAAACCTTTATCTTTTTTTTTTATCCTCATCTGAGGACATTTTTGCATTTATCTTCAGATAGAGAGGGAGGAAGAGAGAGAGAAGCATCGATGTGTGAGAGACACATTGCGTGGCCGTCACCCACACAACCCCAACCAGGTCCAGGAACAAACTGCAACCAAGGTGCGTGCCCTTAGGGGGAACTGAACCTGGGACTCTGGTCTTTGGGCCGATGCTCTAACCGCTGAGTCAAACCAACCAGGGTCCAAACCTATATCTTGATGGGGGTTTTAAATTTAGATTACATGGGTATATAAGTTTATCAAAATTTATCAAACTGTATACTTTATATCTGTGCACTTTACTGTATATAAATCTGTCTCCGTTTTTAAAAATATGTGTGACAATTTAAGCTAAAATTAATTCTCAATCCAGTGAACAAAGTGGAGCACCTAGCCATCTCCTGGTTAGTATTCTCTATATCTGTTTGGTACAGTGACATGACAAATTCTTGCACCACTCTTTTCTGCCTCATTTTCTGAGCTTCATTTTAAGGGGCTGGATATTAGATTCTGTCTAGTTGTCATCAGTCTGAGAAGCTGTGTTTTTACGCATCTTAAATTGTGGAACGAGGCTCTCCTCTCTGGAGATTTTGTTAAATAGCCACTAATAGTATTCATCTCTACTAGCGAGGGGTGAATCCTGTTTTCATTATTGGGTACATAGCCTTTCCCCAACTCCTTATGCAGCCCTGAGAAATGGTATATTGACGAGTTGTCCCATCTCTACTGAGATACTATGGTCTTGAATAGCAGTTCTGCTCTAAGCAAACGTTTTTGGTTTTTTTTCCTTTTCCCAAAGCTATATATTCTCTAAGTTTCACCAAATTAGTAGTGTTAGTAAAATTTGTCAGAATTTTTTTCTACTTTGCTTTTCCCACTTCCTAGCTACTGCCCCAAAAGTGGGAGTTAAAAGCCTCTCCAACTATTTCAGAATGTTCTTTTTCTTTCCTTGGCTGCCTGTTTTTAAACCTTATGACAAAAGGTTGTCCCTTTCGCCCTGGCCGGTTTGGCTCAGCGGTTAGAGCGTCGGCCTGCGGTCCGGAGAGACCCGGGTTCGGTTCCCGCTAAGGGCACGTACCTTGGTTGCAGTTTGTCCCCAGCCCTGGTTGGGTCATGTGGGTGGCAACCACTCGATGTGTCGCTTTCATGTCGATGTTTCTCTCTCTCTCTCCCTCTCACTCTATCTGAACAAAATATCAAAAAATGTCCTCGGGTGAGGATTGAAAAAAAAAAAAAAAGGTTGTCCCTTTCCAGTTTGGTGGCCACTAGGAAAATTTTTGCTATTTTTACTAATTTTTTTGTTCAATTTATTATAGAAAGGATGTTCTATAATCTTCATTCTGCCATCATCATCATTTTTGATAGGGTGACAAATTAAAGACTTAGATATGCACACTCTTTTTAAAGGTTATGTACAGCCCTGTCCAGTTTGGCTCAGCAGTTAGTGTGTCAGCCTGCAGACCAACGGGTCTCTGGTTCAATTCTGGTCAAGGGCTTGTACCTGGGTTGCAGGTTCAATCCCTGGCCTTGGTTCAGGTTGATCAGGAGGCAACCAATCAATGTATCTCTCTCACATCGATGTTTCTCTCTCTCTCTCTCTCTCTCTCTATTTCTCTCTCCCTCCCTCCCCCACTCCCTCCCTTCTCCCTTCCACTCTATCTAAAAATCAGTGGAAAAATATCCTTGGGTGAGGATTAACTAAATAAATAAAAATAAAATAAAAGGTTATATACACTTATAAATATAGAAGGAATTTTCCTTAAAATAGGCTGAAAATTGAGGATTTAAAATCATGTTATAAAATAATTCATAATAAACTAGATATTTTGTTTTAGATAGAGATCTATTGGAATTCATTCACTAAATGGAAAATGATTAAGAATTACAGGTTGTCTTTAATTTTACCTATTCATTATCTTCAGGATTTATCAAGTGGAGTAGTTTCTTCAAGGGAACATAAGCTTGATGAAAATAAGTATGTTCCTTCAGAAGATTCTCACAGTGAGAATAAGGCAGGTAAGAGCAAACTTCTCAAAATGAGCTTATTGACTTATGATACTGCTTTATTACATGCATCAATATAAAATCATATAAAATAATTTTTTTTTATATATTTAGTATGTGTGCCTGTGTTTGTATCTTTGTGTTTATCTTGGTGACATTATTTTGTGTGGTAAGCAATGCAGTGCATTTTGTTTTTGGTTTTGGGTGGGGGGTTTCTAATGCAATGCATTTTTAAAAGAAGGAGACAAGGAGACCTTAGGCTGGGAACTTATGACAAAATATTGATGCTTAATTGGTCTATGGGATGTGGCCAAGTTACTTAAACACCCTAGAATTGGGTATTCTCATATCTACCCTGCCTATCTTTTACCCTAAATAATAGGAAGGGCTAAAAACATTTTATCTTATATATTTGATCAAAGCCCAAATATGAGCAGAATTTACTGAGCTATAGAAAGGACACTGAATTGGGCATCAGGAACCGTGGGATTTTGTCTAGGTCTGTCACTAATTAACTCTGTGATCTAGAGAAGAGATCTCTAAAGTAAGGGGTTAGTCTCAATTGTTAAATTCCTCTTCATTTTGAAATTCTATTACCAAATTATGGTGTCATTGTTCAATTAAACAGTATTTACTAAACTATGAAATTATAAAGAGGTTAATTAACATTTTATTTACTAACTAGGTTCTTGGTAACTTTACTTCGTTGGTTATATCTATAAATTTTGAAATAAATTTAAATTCTAAGAGTAGACATACTGACTATATACAGGAAGAAAACAAATATATATACATATACATATACATATAACAACTGAAAGCATAATCTGGAGCAATAGTCTTACATGAGTGGGGAACGTCTGGCCTGTATAAGGCTTGCAAAATCAATACCAGCTAACATCACATGCCTCACCTGACCAAATATAGCAGGCTAATTTTTAAGTTGATAATTTTGTATGGCCCTTGAATGATGTTATAAATATTCAAATAGCCCTTGGCAGAAAAAAGGTTCCCGACCCCTGCTAGAGGATCTAATTGTATATATACATATAATTTAAGAAATACATATATTTATATACATATTTGTATATAATGATTGTTCATAATGGTAATAGCTAGTATTTACTGGGTGCTGAATATGTACCAGGCAATGCTAAGTATTTAGTATGCATTATGTTTCCCGTGGTTGTGCTATTACTGATATAATGGAACATGTAACAGAAAAATGATGGCTTTCTATTTACAGTAGTTATAAAATTTTCTTTGTGTTTATCATCTGTGTCTTTGATGAACTATCTATTCAGATCTTTTGCCCATTTTTATTTTATTTTTTTGTTAACCTCACCCAAAGATATTTTTCCATTGATTTTTAATTTTTTTTTTCTTTTTTTTATCCTCACCCGAGGATATTTTTCCATTTTTTGTACAGATAGAGTGGGAGGGAGAGAGAGGAAGGGAGAAAGAGAGAGAAACATCGACGTGAAGGGACACATCGAGTGGCTGCCACCCGCACGACCAACCAGGGCCGGGGACAAACTGCAACCGAGATGCGTGCCCTTAGCGGGAACCGAACCCGGGTCTCTCCAGACTGCAGGCCGACGCTCTAACCGCTGAGCCAAACTGGCCAGGGCTCCATTGATTTTTAGATAGAGTGGAAGGGAGGGCGAAAATAAACAAACATTGATTGGTTTTGTCCCACACGACCCTGACCAGGCCCAGGGATCAAGTCTGCTTTTGACCAGGAATTGAACCTGGGACCCTTCAGTCTGAGGGCCGACACTCTAACCGCTGAGGAAAAGGGGCCAGGGCCTTTTGCCCATTTTAAATTGGATTGTTTTCTTATTGTTGAGTTGTAAACGTTTTTTTGTTTTGTATTGTGGATACAAATCCTTGATCAGAAATATGATTGCAAGTATTTAGTCCCAGTCTTTGGCTTGTCCTTTCATTTTCTTAAGTATTTTTTTTGCAGAGCAAAAAAGTTGAAATTTGATAAAGTCCAACTTAATTTTTCTTTCCTGTATTGTGCTTTTTGTGTTTTATGTAAAAACTTAGCACCAAACCCAGGTTCATGCAGATTTTTCTCTTATATTTTCTTGTAGAAGTTTTATAGTTTCATATTTTACATTTAAATGTGTGATCCATTTTGAGCTAAGGTATATATGTATGTTGTCATTTTTTTTGCATATGCATATTCAATTGTTTCAGCACCATTTGTTCAACTGTCCTCTTTCCATTGAAGTACCTTTGCCTTATTGTCAAATACCAGTTGACTATATTTACCTGGCAGAGGAGATACCATGATCACGAAGGTGGTTTTCCCAGGGCAAGGCTTATCCATTGCACGCTGGATGTGCTGACCCCTGTGATTTCCCCAAATGTGGGAAACTCAACTCATAATTTGTGCTAGTGGGGGACTTCCTTTTCCCACTGTGGGGAAAAAGTCAGTTGACTATATTTGCATGGGTCTGTTTTTAGGCTATTTTGTTCCATTGATCTATTTATTTGTCTCTTTGCCAATATCATACTATCTTGAATACTGTTAAGTCTTGATGTTAAGTAATGTATTTTGGTTTTATTAGCTTTTACATTTTTAAGATACAAAGCTTTGGGTTTATTTTGTAATATAAATTATTGTCCTGTTTTTCCCCTACCAGTTTCTCCCGAGTCCATTGTCTATTCCATCTTCAGTGCGTCTTCAGTCAATACAAAAAGGTAGGAATTGCTCTTATTTTAATGTTCAGTGATTATTTAATTATGAGTCCTATGGGTCTCTTTTTCTTCTTTATACTATTTAATTTGGAGAGCAATTTTTCCATCTCCACTAAGGGGATTTTAATAGAAGATGAAGTCATATCCTTTCATAGAAACTTCGTAAGAACCTAAGAGTTCAGAAAAGAGAAAGATCTTTATGGGCTTGAATAATAATAATTGCTAACATTTTTATATAGAACCTGGGCCATCATAAGTAGTTTATATTCATTATCTCACTTAATCCTCATAGCAACCTAGAAGGAAGATACTATTATGATTTTCATTTTTCTCTAAGGAAACTTACTTATTCAGCCACAGTTGTGCAGCTCTTCTGTGGGAGAACCAGGACTAGAATCCATATTTGAATCAAAGTCCATTAGGCTATATTGCCTTCCCTGGGTGATAATATTTGAATAATAGCTAATGTTCAATGAGCATTTACAACTTATGATGTAGGTACCATTATTACCCCCATTTTATAGATGAGAAAACTCTGGCCAGAAGAGTAAGTAATTTGCAACAGCTTGATGACATTATAAATCCCTGCTGAAGCTACCACTATCCTGTTCAAAGCTAAGAGTGGGATGTGGGGAGGCATGGGTAGATGTGAGCATGATAGGTGGAAAGCTCTGAAAAAGACGTTTCTTCTAGTCTGAATATCTTCCTAAGCAGCTTTGGTACTTCTCTCCCCATTTGATGATAAATAACTACAGGTATTGAGCAAGGAACTTCCTAGTTAAGTTCTCTTATTCTTAGGGACCCCTGACCTTAAATCCCCTCAGAGATTGGGTTGGGTGGGCAACTTTCCCCCTTCAAAGGCCATAGTCCTATTTTTATCAATTTTCCTTTTCTCATCTATGTCTTTGTTCATGACTGTTTATTATTAAGGGTTGAAATCTATCATAATTAGCTACTAAAGGTGTATAAAATATTTTAATGTAGCATAAAGAGATATTAGGATACTGTTAGTTGAGTCATTTGAAATTGTTCTTTGTGTAGGACCCAGAAGTTCAGATATCATCAATTTCTTGTGGTTTAATCTATTACCTTTACCTTAGGTAGACTAAGATTCTCTGGGTTCACAGTTTCACATTCTTTTTTTGTTTGTTTGTTTTTGTTTATTCCTTCACTTGGCGAACACTTCCAGAGTGTGTTATCTGGTATTGAACTAGACTGAGTGTTTGGAGATGTGAAGAAAAATAACACATGCTCCTGCTATGATTAGAGGAGGATAGACATTTAAACAAATATATGTAATAAAGTTAAAATTGCTAAGATAGAAGTAAGGAGATTGTGGTCATGCATGCTGGGATGGGAAAACCTGAGTCATTTAGCAAAGGTTGCATAAAGAGGAGGGTGTCAGCAACCTGGACAAGTGTTTTCTATGTTACAGGTATTTGCCATTAGTAGCTTGTCAAATCAGTTTAAGGCCATTATATCCAGAATTTAAATGGAAGAATATATCTCTCACATAGTGTGTTTAGTGAAACTTTTTTTTGTTTTTGTTTAGTTATCTGTGTGTGTGTGTCTCCATTGGTCATGGTATAAATATATGTTTTACCATAGGTTTGTGAAGTCACTTTGAAAGTCATTCTAATTAAATGATCACAAGACAGCTTGGCTTGGCTTAACGTATTAGATTTTTTTTTCTGTGTTTTCTCACTATGTTTTTTTCTGTTTGAATATCTTGCTTTAGGTACTTGGTTTGTTTCCTTGCATATTTTCTCTTACTTCTACTCTCTAGAGATATCTGTTCCTTTGCTCTTTGGAAAACCAAGGTCCTTTTTAACATAAGGCAAGGGTTATAAACTCAGTGCCTACAGAGCCAGCCAGGCTAAGTGGAGAGTGGAGCCAACTGTAGAATGCATGCTCCATCTAAAAAAGCATGTGTTGTTTAGCTTCATCTAGTAGGTTCTTTGAAGAAATAGAGATCTTATAGTGTCTCTTGCAATATTGGAAATACACATTTTTAAGTGAAATCTCTAGATTTTTAAAATATTGGTTCCTAATCCAAAGTTTTAAACACTGTGAGTCATTCAAAACCTATCTGCTAGCTGAATTTGGCCAAAAGAGCTTCAGTCTGCATCCTCTATAAGCCAATCCCAAATTCTTTCCCAATGGGAAAAGGTTTCCTCAACATCTATCAAGCCAAAAATTTTTTTTTCCTAAGAATTTGAGAATAGTAGGGTGCTGCTTTAAAAGGAATGAAGACAAGTGCATGTAGTACTCAACCACCGCCCAAGTAAAAAGTTGCTGATGGCTGATCTCCTGTGGTTCCGTGAGCTTTGATATTAGTCTACTTAATTGTTATGTATTCCAAGAATTTCTGTATACCTACATGGGTAAATATTTTCCTAAGCTTTGATAAAGCAAACAAAAGATTATCTTTTACAAGTGAAGTCAAATTACAACAAGATCCTGCATATGTGTATCTGATCCCTTGGATTTGGAGTTACAAGACAAGGATTTGAGTCTTAAATCATTCTTTACTAGTTACTTGACCCTGAGTAAATTACCGATCCTTTCTGAGTGGGTCTGAGGTTTCTCATTGTTCTTAGTCCTATTACTTTATCAAGTTATTGTCCAGAAACAGCACTAAAAATTGTCAGATGCTCTGCAGATATTATATACATATCAGTTTTAATTGTAATTCCTTAAACATTTTAAATTATGAAATAATATTTATCAACTTTTCCATTTCAAGATCACTAGTTGGAGAACAGTCTTCTGTGGGATCCATCACACCTGCTAACTTCTTGAAACAAATCAATACTCAGAAGAGTATTAATACCAGAGATACCAATAAAGAAACAAAAGACCAGCTCATTATTGTGAGTAGATTCAAAACAAAGCTCCTCCTGTACATCCCATATGGAACATGAAATCAGACATGTCGTCTTAGCATAGTTAACATGGATTATAGATATTCTGAGTTTTGTAAAGGCTAGTTTTGTTGTAGTGGCAGCATTTAAAGCTAGTCAGGTATATTTTCAAATAGATAATGTTGGGCAATGCTAGTAATTTAGCAGAATGCTGATGAATGAGTTATCTTCAGATAAGGAAGATTGCTGATCAGCAAAAGATTTAATGATAATAGCTACATTGTGTTAGACCTGGGTTTGGCTAACTATGACCATGGGCCAAATCTGGACCATGGCCTGTGAGCTTAAAATGGCTTTTACATTTTTAAAAGGTTGGGGGGGGGGAGAATATGTGACAAATCATGTATGGTCTGCAAAGCATAAAATAGTCACTATCTGGCCTTTTACAAAAAAAGTTTGCCAGCCCCTTATTAGACTGTGCAAAACCTGGTATTTTCAGTAGCAGTAAGTAAGGTCTTATGAGATAGAGTGGGGGTTAGTTAATAAGCCATGGCATTGAATATTCCTGACTTTCCTGTATTCATTCATTTATCTGCGCTTTCCCTTAACTTTAATTATGTATTATATTTATTTTTGTCAACTCTTTGGGCAAAGAATTTTGATATTCCTAAACACTTAAGGGGAAAATATATTTATAATGAATGGAGAAGTCCTAAAATTTTTGCCCTTCCTCTTTGAAATAAAGGCTTTTTGAGGTCTCCGGACCGCAGGCTGATGCTCTAACCGCTGAGCCAAACTGGCCAGGGCTTTGAGGTCTCTATTTAAGAGCTTAATAAAGAAGTTTCCATTGTTCATCTTAGCTATAAATTTTATGATTTAATCTTATTTCTTCTTAGAACTATGGTTCTATCTAGCTAAAGAGTCTGATTTTTTTTTTTTTTTTTCTTACACTGTCCATTTTAAGAGATAGTTCCATTTCTTTTATTCACTTACTGCATTTTTAGGTCTTTTTTTCTTTCATTTTGTTTGAAAGTTTGTTTCTTTCATTTAGTATTTCACTTGTGCCAGCGTAAAAGAAAAATAAGGAGAAATTTGAATGAATGGTTACATGAACTAACTGTAGAGCTATTTGTGATACATTTAGATGGCTCCCTCCCTCCTTCATTAATAGGACGCAGGTCAGAAACATTTTGGAGCGACCATGTGCAAGTCCTGTGGCATGATCTATACTGCTTCCAACCCTGAAGATGAGCTGCAGCATGTTCAGCATCACCACAGGTTTCTGGAGGGAATCAAATACCCAGTAAGTCAAACAATAGTCTTTCAGTTTGTTCTAAAAGTAAAACTGCTTTAAAAGATACATTTCTTTTGCTTAAATATTGAAAGATCTCCATACCCATAAATGTTTTGTCATCTGCAGTTTTGTAAAAGTGCCATTTTAAACTATCTGTCCTAATATAAGAGAGGTATTGTTTTAGGTTAAGTACATACCCTGCATTCTTACCTCTTGCTTTTTGAACAGGGCTGGACAGTCAAGATACAAAATTCAAAGACTTGAGGATTTCCCCCCCACACACACACTTTAATTTCTTCTTTAAAGATAGCCTTAGAAAACAGCTTTTTTATGACTTCTCCAAGCCTTTTCTTTTCTGAGAGGAGAGGTCTCTATCAAATAACTTTCTAGTCCAAATACATCCTATTGTTGGCCTTATCTTTATGATTGTACCTACTACTCAAATGTATCCTTTTTCTACCCTGTTTTTATTGTCGTAGTTCATACCTTCATTATATTTTTAGCCTGATTTATTTACCTGTCCCTCCTCTACTTTCCCGCCCTAATAATTTAAGTTTTTCCAAGTTAGTGTGTTTGATGGATCCCACATATTCCTATGAGGAGCACTTATTTGACTTTGCCTCGTTTCATGATAGATTATATATGTACATGTCTCCCAATAGGGTGTCAGCCTCTTGGAGACAGGTACTTTGTTTTTGGCATCTTTTATTTCCCTTTCCCCCATTGTTTTACAGTTGTCCCTCACCACTTTGCGCTTCAACTTTGGCGGCTTCACTCTGTCGTGGTTGTTTCAAATATATTCATTAAAAAGTTGATTGAGCCCTGGCCAGTTTGGCTCAGCGGTTAGAGCGTCGGCCTGCGGTCTGGAGAGACCCGGGTTCGGTTCCCGCTAAGGGCACGTACTTCGGTTGCAGTTTGTCCCCGGCCCTGGTTGGTCGTGCGGGTGGCAGCCACTCGATGTGTCCCTTCACGTCGATGTTTCTCACTCTCTCCCTTCCTCTCTCTCCCTCTCACTCTATCTGTGCAAAAAATGGAAAAATATCCTCAGGTGAGGATAAAAAAAAAAAAAAGTTGATTGAGACAGTGAAAATGATACAGCGTGCGCTCGGTCGTCTGAGTCAATTATACACCCCTGTATTACAATTAAAATTAGCCCTGGCCGGTTTGGCTCAGCGGTTAGAGCATCGACCCGCAGACCAGAGAGTTCTGGGTTCGGTTCCTGTTAAGGGCACGTACTGGTCCCCGGCCCTGGTTGGGGTTGTGTGGGTGGCAACCACTCGATGTCTCTCTCACATCGATGTTTCTGTCTCTCTCCCTCCCCATCTATGTGAAGATAAATGCAAAAATAAACAAAACAAAAAAATTAAAATTACTATACATATGGACTGTAGGCCTATGTATTCGAGCACCCCAGGAATCCTTCAACGCCAGGTGCAACCGCTAGAGTCTGGAACAGATTAACTGCGATAAACGAGGGATGACTGTAGTTGGATTTTGTTCTATCTTTTTAAATATCATTTACTGTTCTGTTTGTCCTCTCCAGACTAAATTATTTAATGTTTCGAGGTTTTTTCCCTCTTCAAGTTAAACTGTAACTTTTTTCTTTTGGCAGGGCTGGAAAAAAGAACGTGTTGTAGCAGAATTTTGGGATGGGAAAATTGTGTTGGTCCTGCCACATGATCCAAGTTACGCTATCAAAAAGGTACGGAGCAATTGCTTTTTTTGTTTTTTTATGGGGCTGGCTATGGAACATGAGTTTTTTTTTAATCCTTGTTCTTCTGTTCCTTCCCCCTCCCCCACTAAAAAATCACTATATTGAAGTGTAAAATACCTTTGCTGATAGATCATCTACTGTGGTACATATGTAAGGATGATTTTCATATTAGTTCTTACAAAACTAAACTCAAAATTACAAGACAAATAAAGGAATGGCAGTTGGAGATGAAAGACAACAACTTATCCTTTTCCTTTATTTTGCACTTGTGAAAGATGTTACTTTTCATTGTGGAGAGATGAATGGCCCTAGAGTCTTTTTCTTCTATTAGTGTTGCCTGTGTTTCTTGGGCTGGATGTTTAGCCCCAGCGAACAATGAATAAAACTGAAACAAAATCTGTTTTGGCACTTCCTAATCCTTTTCTCCCTCCCAAGAGTCTGAATTTCTTTCTACTGAAAGTGCTCTTGAAAATAGGTTCTTAAAACCTTGTTTCCAAAGTGGCAGATACACGCGTCAATAGTGAAATAATTCGGCGGTGGGGTATATAAATTTAGGAAATAGAGGTAAAAGATTCTAAAATTATAGTAATCATAAATTTTGTATATATAATTATATATAGTTTCTGTTGTACTTTTTAAAACAAATTCACCTCTTGATTTTTTACATCATTAGGTAGAAGATGTGCAAGAACTTGTCGATAGTGAATTGGGCTTCCAACAAGTTGTTCCCAGATGTCCAGACAAAACCAAAACTTTTCTCTTTATATCTGATGAAAAGAAAGTAGTAGGGTGTTTAATTGCAGAACCCATCAAACAGGTATGTTATAAGTCTTAAATTTTGGCATCTGTACCCGGCCATCGCTGGCAGTCGGTGCCATGCAGTTTTATCCAGTAAAGCAAATGATTAGAGGTCTTGGGGCCGAAATTTTGGCATAATTTGTGACCAAAATAAAGTAGTTGGGAGAAATTTCAATAGCTTTTAAGACTACTACCATAAATGACCTTTTTTTCCCCTACTAAGACATCCTTGATCATATGCATAATTGGAGTTATTTATTTCTGTTAATATTTGGTATTTTGCCCTAAGTAGGATAAGTAGGTCTTATGTCCTTATAGTAATTTTTATACCTGGGCTATAAAGTATAGTGATTTAAAATAAGCAAATCTATAGAGCCCAGTTATTGAATATGTGGCTTAGTGCAAAAGTCATTATTTGTCCCTTAATTAGAACCTAGTTTAGGTACTAATTAGCAATGTTCTAGAAAAGGAGTCAGTAAACTTGCCTGTAGGCTAAATGTGGTTGCCACCTGTTTTTGTAAATGAAGTTTTATTGGAACATAGCCTGCTCATTCATTTCTATATTACCTGTGGTTGCTTTTGTGCTACAATGGCAGGGTAGAATGAGTGCAACAGACACCACATGACTCAAAGAGTCTAAAATATTTATAATTTGGCCACTTACAGAAAAAAGTTGCCAACCCTCATTCTAGAATAGAAAGATGTAGTTTTTGCCTTTAACTAGAATTTATAGTTAAATGTGTTCTTTTTACCTAACTGTATTATATTCCACACTTATGTCTACTTCCTTTTAAAAATAATTATCTCAATACATCTTGAAATGAAGCTAGCATAAATTTATCTTACACATTTTGATGGAGGGTAAAGATGGGTGTGGTTATAATGAGGTAAAGAGGAAGATTTTTGTGAGTGTGATGGTGGTTAAATGAATAATGTATACAAGTGTAATTAACTGTCGTGAAACTATACACATATATTATACCCAGGTTAATTTCTTGGTTTTGGTATTGTACCATAGTTATGGAAGATGTAACCCTTGGGAGGAACTGGGTAAAGGATACACAGGTCCTCTCTACTAGTTTTCAACTTCCTGTGATCCTATAATTATTTCAAAATAAAAAGTTTTCTTAAAAATCCTAAATGCCAACCAAATTTCATAGTTAACTTGTAAAAATCTTCATTGTGTTATCAGTTTTTAAAAATATCATATATACATTTTAGGCTGGAGAGAATGGGAGACATTTATGTACTTTATGTACTATAAGTCAGAGTCTGTTGTTTTACTTTTTTTTTTTTAATAAAAGAGGGAAATTTCATAATGGTATGTAATACAGTGGCATGTTGGGAATATCTCAACACCGCTAGTATTTTTTCAAGCACTGTGTGACTATAAAAGAACAAGAACTCCATAACTAAAAGAATTTTAACATTTTATGTGAAGGTATAAGATTAATTTTAGATTCTTGTTTTGTTTAAGAAATGGTTTCAAAACCAAATGTAAACTGATCTGTATTGTTAACTCTAGATGCTTCTTTATATCATTGTAGGCCTTCCGTGTCCTGTCTGAACCAACTGGTGCAGAATCCCCAAGTTCTAAAGAATGTCACAGGGCTTGGCAATGTTCAAATGTACCAGTACCTGCAGTCTGTGGGATAAGTAGAATCTGGGTCTTCAGATTGAAGAGAAGAAAGCGAATTGCAAGACGACTGGTAGATACTCTCAGGTAAGAAATAAAATGGATTTAGACCTGGATTAACTTTCCAAGAACCCTTTCTAGTTCATGACCCAAAGGGAATGATGTTGATAAGATACTTCTGTATAAATTCTATCTAAGTCAGGCTAAATAAGGCAGGTGTTGGCACTGGGGGGAAAAAAACCCCAAACTAAATATACTCAGTTTAGGGCACAACGTTCCAGGTCTGAAACATTCTAACCCAATGCTTTTCAACCTATGGTGAAAGACTAGTTTAATTTGTTATTGACCAATACTTTATAAAAGAAAATGAAGATGAACTGCTAGAAAATGAAATAGAAAAACAAAAACAGGAAAATGCCCTAATTTTATTTGATTCAACAGATGTAAAATTAACATTTTAATAAATATAATATTTAGTCTTGGCCAGTTTGACTCGGTGGTTAGAGCGTAAGCCTGAGGACCAAAGGGTCACAGGGTCGATTCCTGGTCAAGGGCATGTGCCTGGGTTGCAGATTCGTTCCCTGGCCAGTGGGGTCCTTCAGGAGGCAACCAATCAATGTATCTCTCTCACATCTATGTTTCTCTCTCTCTCTCCCTTCCACTCTAAAAATCAGTGGGGGGAAAAAGTTTCTAATGTGACAAATGTGCTTATTTTTTGCTGTTAATTTACCTAATCTAGGTTAGATGTGTATTTCACAAACAACACTTATTTTCTGGACATCTATACTTTTGTTTTTCCTTTTTAAACTTATCTTTATTGTTGAATGTATTACAGATGTCCCTCCTCCCCGCCCCCCCAGATCCCCTCCTCTTTCATCCCCCTCTCCTGCCTTCCCCACACTATTGTCTGTGACTCTTGGTTGTGCATAAATGCATATAAGTGTTTTGGTGTCCTCCCTATCTCCCTGCTTCCCTTTGAGGTTAATCAGTCTAACAACCAATCTGTACTTCTAATCCCTTTATCTTTTTCGAATAACTGCCCTCCCATCTGGCAACCAACAAAAAAAAGTTCTCTGTATCTGTGAGTCTGTTTCTGTTCTGCTTGCTCATTTTGTTTGTAGATTCGATTGTTGATAGATATCAACATCTATACTTGATAACAGATTACAAACCAGTGACCAACCACACTTTGACCAAACCCAAAATCACACTTCGAGTAGCACTATTTTAGCCTTTTGAGTTATATATGTTTTTTAAGAAAGAACACTACAGACCACTGTGGGGATCCAATCTTTGGTCATAATCCTACTGACCCATAAAGAGGAGCAGTGAGAAAAATTGGTGTCTGTAGAGATTTTTATTGGATAGTTAATTATGAAATACCTCTATTTTCTATATTTTATATTAAGAGATACATGAATTTGATATGAGGAGTACCACTATCTAACCTAGACTAGTGCTTCTCAAATTTGAAAGTGCATATGAATCACTTGGGATCTTGTTAAAATGCAGGTGTGGCTCAGTAGGTCAGGGTGGGGCCTGAGATTGTGCATTCCTAGTAAGCTCTTACGTGACACTGAATGTTGCTGGTCTGTGGATCATACTTTGAGTACTAAGGCAGTGTACTAAGCAATAATGAATAAAACTCCAGTTTCCCTGAAAGGAGAAATATAAAACACATTCACTTGAGGACATATCTGTCTTTTCTCACACATCCGAGTTGAAGATACAAGTAACATGGACGGAGGAGCCTTAGGCTGAACTGTCTCTTGTCTATACAGGCAGTGTTTAAATCCTCACAAGAGTAGAATATTCCTAGTTATTTTACATAAGAATCACCTGAAGCTCAGATGGGATTATTAGGTACAAACTTACATTGATGAGCTAGTAAAAGGCCAGAGTTAGGACTCAAGCTCACATACGTAATGTTTTTTCTATAGCTGGTATCACTAATAAAGACAAGAACTATCTAATCAAACCAGTATTTTGATTTGGACATTTACCAATAAACTTTGTATTCAATTATTTAGTAAGGATACCAAAAGCTTTTATCTTAACTTCAAATTGAATCCAGTTTTGAGTTTTGAAGTAATTTTAAACTTACAAGAGTAGTAAGAATAGTAAAAAGAACTCTCATGTACCTTTGCCCAGATTCATCAAGTTTTAACATTTACATTCTTTGAACTTGTGTATATTTCTTAAGAACAAGGATATTCTCTTACATAAGCACAGTTCAGTGATCAAATTCAGGATATTTAATATTGATATAATGCTTTTGTCTAATGTATAGTTCATATTTCAGTTTTGTCATTTGTCTCAAATGTCCTGTATAGCATTTTTTCCCCCTGTGCAGGATCGCATATTGCACTTAGTCATCGTATCTCTTTAGTCTTCATTTCCCTTAATGCAGAATAGTTTTTAGGCTTCGTCTTTTATGACATTGTAGAATTTGAATACAGGCCAATTACTTTATAGACTATGCCTCAATTTTGTTGAATTCTTTCAGCCATTTCATTACTTTTAATCCTAATTGAGCCCTGGATCAAGGAGAGGTGTAGTCAAAATGCAGAATAGTTTTTGCCTTCTTAAAGCTCTTGACTGTGTGGTGTAGTTAAAAGAATACAGTATTGGTTAAAATCAGTGATAGGTTTCTTTGGTTTTAATTATGGCTTTTAATTAGCAATATTACCTCCTATTAGTTGCTCATTACCATAAATTACCTAGAGTCAGCTAGATGGTTTGTATGATTCCCTTTGCCTCAGCAGAATTTTTTCTGGACCTCAGTTTTCTCACTTGGAAATAATTAGACTTTCATCTCTAAAATGTAAAGCATTGTCATTTTATCATTTAATAAAATGTTGATTTTAATCGAGCAGTTAAGGAGATTGAATTTTTATATTTAGATTGCTTTAAAATGTGCTGATGTTTAATCAAAATTTCCCTTTCATTCCATTGTTACAATTCTTTTCCTCTTTTTTTAGGAATCGTTTCATGTTTGGCTGTTTTCTCAGTATTGATGAAATAGCATTTTCTGACCCAACGCCAGATGGCAAGTTATTTGCAACCAAGTACTGCAACACCCCTAATTTCCTTGTATACAATTTTAATAGTTAAAGCCAATTTCAACTAAAGAACAGTTACTTTATGGATGAGTTAAGATAGCTTATCATATAATAACTATATAGAAACTGTCAAAATAAAGATACTGAGATGCACACACACACACAAACCTGTTTTGTTCCTTATGAATTGAAAAGTCAGGGATAGATTTGTTGGAAATCATCTGGAGTTTCAAAGAAAGGATAATATCTTTAGATGATGTATACTGACTAGAACTCTGAGTCCTTAATTATGAAACTTTGTAGATATAACTGGAAAAGTATTTTCCTCTTACATAGGAACCCTGACAAAGCAAGGCCACAGAAATGTGACCACTTACCTTTAATAAAGCACTTTTGAACCAGGATGATCTAAATCAGAAGCAAACAGGGAAATTTAAAGACAAATAATTTCCATGCCCAATTTTTAAAGGTAATTCCTGAATTCTGTACACAGAATTCTCACCTTATAGGTAGCAGCTCAGTTGAATATATTTAGAAAGTGTTTTAAATTTCTAGTTTGTAATAGGGTAATATGGTAAAGAATAAGATTTCCATATCCTTTTATGTTGAACAGAGTTCTCTAGCTTCATGTTTTAATATTTTTAAAAGTTCTCACCAGATTTAATTAAGATTGTACTCAGTAATTGCACTACTGTCGTTTAATTTTTGGTGTATGAGTATTCTAATTGTGCTACTTATCTTTAGTAAACTTATTACTGGTAATTGAAATCATCAACAAAATGGATACCTACTTGGGATTAGATGATTTATATGGTTACATTTAATTTTTTTTTGCATGTCTAAAATACATCTTATTTGTTCTAAGACATCTAACAAAATGTATATCAGAACCAAGGTTAGTGAGTAAATATCTAGGCTAATAGGTCAGAGAACATGACATGATGTAAGTACACCTAAATGTTTTAATGTCTTTGAAAATCAGTTTTCTAGTATAATAATTCGTGGATATTTTGAAAAACAGAGTTATCAGATTATTGATTCTAAAAAATTTTTGCTGTCTGGTAATAATACTCTAGAGAAGTAGTTTTCCAGGTTATCATTTTATGTAGAATATGTTCATTTACATTCTTTTATTTGCCTGTAAGATAACATGGTTCCAAAATTTAAAGGCCTGAATTCCAAAATGAATGTGTGTTAAAATGTGTGTAATTATGCAAAAATTTTATTTTCTACACTGCTGTTTTTTTAAATATTATATTTAAAAAATTTTATTAACATTATTTGTTTCAATGCTTTTGTGATGGATCAATTAAAGTTTTTGTCAATATTCTCTTTGTTCTCATACAATAGAATGTACTAATTTTCTTTTTATTTTTTTGTGGTAATAAAAATAGTACATGCTTGCCCCGGCCCAGTAGCTCAGTTGGTTAGAGCTTCATCCTGATACATCAAGGTTGTAGGTTCAATCCCCAGTCAGGGCACATATAAGAATAAACCAATGAATGCATAAATAAGTGGAACAACAAATCGATGTCTCTCTCTCCCTCTCCAATCAATAAAGAAAAGAATTTTGAAAATACATGCTATTAAAAAAAAAAAAAAAAAATCACTAAAAGCATCCATCCACACAAAAACCAGCACACAGATATTTATAGAGTTTTATTCATAACTGTCAAAACTTGGAAGCAACCGAGATGTTCTTCAGTAGATGAACAGCTACATCTAGACAGTGGATTACTACTATTCGGCACTAAAAAAGTCACAAAAAGGCATGAAGGAACCATACGTGAATATTACCAAGTAGGAGAAGACAGTCTAAAGCTACATTCTATATGATTCCAACTATATGACATTCTGGACAGGCAGAACTGTAGAGACAATAAAAATATATGTGGCTGCCAAGGGATGGAGGGAGGGGTGACTAGGAGGAGCACAGAGGATTTTGGGCAGTGAAAATACAGCATACTGTATAATATAATGGATACATGCTATTATATATTTGCCCAAACAGAATGGACACCAAGAGTCAACCCTAATTTGTCAATGTAGATTCATCAACGGCAACACATGTACCACTCAGGTGGGGGTGCTGATAATAGGGGAAGCTTTGCATATGTGGTGGCAGGGAGTATATGGGAAGTCTGTACCTTCCTAATTTTGTTGTGAACCTAAAACTACTTTAAAAATAAAAAGTCTCTCCCTGGCAGGTTTGGCTCAGCAGTTAGAGCGTCGGGCCATGGACCAGAGAAGCCCGGTTCGGTTCAGTTCCCAGTAAGGACACGTTCCTTGGTTGCAGTCTGGCCCTGGCCCTGGCCCTGGTTAGGGTTGTGTGGGTGGCAACCAGTCAGTGTGTCTCTCTTGCATCAATGTTTCTCTTCCTTTCTCCCCCCTGCTCTATCTGAAGATAAATGCAAAAATGTCCTCAGGTGAGGATAAAAAAAAGTCTGTAAAACAGTAAGTCTGAAAATATTACAGCCAGAGACATGACAACTAAATGTATTCTGGAAGGGGACAAGGACATTTATTTGGTAATAAATCAGAATAAATCATGGACTTCAGTTAATAGTAAAGCATCAATATTGGTTTGTTGTGACAAATATACTAATGTGTTAGTAACAGAGGACTAGGTATGGGGTATATGGGAATTCAGTCTTTGCAACTTTTCAGTAAATATAAAACTTGGTTTATTTTTTTTAAATGCACCAAGAGTTATCAAATACCTTCATAACTACTACCCAGGTTAAAAACCAGTCACCTTCCTAAAAGCCTTCCTCTTGCCCCCTTCAATAATTATTACATCATCTTCCTCAGATATAACTACTTTATTTTTAATCCTCAACTGAGGATATGTTTCTATTGATTTTAGAGAAAGGAAGGGGAAGAGAGAGAAACATCGGGTTGCCTCCTGTTTGCACCCCAACCGGGGATGGAACCTGCAACTTAGTTATGTGCTCTGACCAGGAATCGAACCAGTGACCTTTTGGTACATGGGATGATGCTCCAACCAACTAAGCCACCCAGTCAGGATATGTAAATACCTGTTAGTTAATTTATTTCTTTAATCCTCACCTGAGGATATTTTTCTATTTACCTTCAGATAGAGGGGAGGGAGGGAGAAACATCGACATGAGAGACACATCAATTGGTTGCCATCCGCATGACCCCAACTGGGGCCAGGGACTAACCACAACTGAGGTACGTGCTCTTGGCCAGAACCATGTAACTATCTTCTGATTAGTAATTTTTTAGTCTATTTTTGAACGTTATATAAATTGAACCTTTATATATTTCAGAATGCATTTATGTTATTGCATCTAGCTGGATGTTTCATTACTATATATTCTACCCTGAGAATATATCCTAATTTATACTACTGTTGATGAACATTTTAGGTTGTGACTATTCAAGCCTCTTGCATTTTTATGTTTTGTTCTTATATTTATTATTTTCTACCTTTGTCAAAAATTGTTGTCCATATATGTGCAGTTCTAGTTCTGCCTGTTTATTCCACTTGTCATTGTTTATCCTTATGCCAATACGATATTCTCGATATTTAGTATAGTAAATTCTCTTTTTGGGTAGGAGTATTCTTGTCTATTCTTGGTCCTTTGCATTTTGATGTATATTTTAAAATCAGTTTATTAAGTTCCTCAAAGAGCCATCACTTATAAAGCTAGTATGAAGGTTAAAAGACAAAAGTAATAAAAATAATAGCTAAGGGATACACATGATAAACAAAACATAGAGGGGAGAGTAAAAATATAAAACTTTAGAATGTGTTCAAGCTTAACTTATCAACTTAAAATAGACTGTTACAAATATAAGTTATGTGTAAGCCTCATGGTAACCACAAAGCAAAAATCTATAGTAGATATACTAAAGAAAGTCATTGAGCTACAAAGAGAGCAAGAGAAGAAAGGAGCAGAGGAAATATAAAATGGCTGGAAAACAATGACCAAAATTGCAATTAGTACATACCTATCAACAATAAAGTATAAATGGGCTAATTCTCCAATCAAAAGACTCAGTGTCTGAACTGAATAAAAAAATAAGACCATCTAGATGCTGCCTAAAAGTGACCGCACAGGCATAAGCACACACACAGACTGAAAGGGGATAGAAAAAGAAATTCCATGCAAATGGACACCAAAAGAAAGCCATGGTAGCTGTAACTGTATCACACAGAATAGACTAAAACAGACCATAATAGACATAGAAGGGTATTACATAATGATGAAGGGGTCAATCAAACAAGAGGATTTAACATTTGTAAATATTTATGCATCCAACAAAGATAGGAGATCCTAAATATATAAAGCAAATATTAACAGAGTTAAAGGGAGAAATTGACAACATTACAATGGTAGGGGACTTTAAGACTAAAATTGTATCATCTTTTCTAACCACAATGGTATGAAACTAGAAATCAATTACAAAACTGGAAAGTTCACAAATGTGTGAAGATGAAACCATATGCTACTGAAGAGCCAATGAGTCACCAAGAAATCAAAAGAGAAATAAAAGAATACCTTGAAACAAATGAAAATGGAAATACAACCAACAAAACATGGGATGCAACAAAAGCAGTTCTAAGGGAAACTACAGAAACAAAAAGCTCACCCTGGTCAGTTTGGCTTAGCGGTAGTGTTGGCCCATGGACCAATGAGTCATGGGTTTGATTCTGGTCAAGGGCACGTACCTCAGTTGCAGTTTGTCCTGGCTCTTGTCAGGGTCATGCGGGAGGCAACCAGTCAATGTGTCCCTCTCATATTGATGTTTCTCTCTCCCTTTCTCTCCTTCTCTCTCCCTCCCACTCTATCTGAAGATAAATAGAAAAGAAAAAAAAAAAAGAAACAAAAAGCTCAACCTAACTTTACAACTCAAGGAACTATAAAAAGAACAAATGAAGCCCAAAGTTAGTAGAGGAAAGAAATACAAAGACTAGAGAAGAAATAAATGAAAAACACACTAATAAGACAACAGAAAAGGTCAATGAAACCACAAGCTGGTTTCTTTGAAAACTAGAACTAGATACCTTTAGCTAGACTCAACAAGAGGAGAGGGCTCAAAATCAGAAATAGAGGAAATGCTATTACTGATTCCACAAAAATACAAAGGATCACGAGAGATAAGTTCCTAAACACATACAACCTGCCACAGCGGAATCATGAAGAAACAGATTAATAGTAAATAGATTGAATTGGTAATCAAAAACCTCCCAACAAACAAAAGTCCCAGAGCAGACGACTTGACTGGTGAATTCTATCAAAAAGGTAAGCATTAATACCAATTATTTTCAAACTGTTCCAAAGAACAGAATAGGGAACACTTCCAAACTCATTTTATGAGGCCAGGATTATTCCGATACCAAAACCATACAAGGACACAACAATTACAGGCCAATAATCCTGATGAACATAGATGCAAAACTCTTCAGCAAAATATTAACAAAGTAAATGCAATAATACATTTTTTTAAAAATCATACACCATGATAGTGGGATTTCCACAAATCAACTGTGTGATAAGCCACATTAACAAAATGAAGGATAAAAATATGATCATCACAATAGATACAGAAGAAGCATTTGACAAAATTTAACACCCATTTATGATAAAAACTCAACACACTGGGTATAGAGGGAATATACCTCAATCTAATAAAAGCCATATATGACAATCCCACAGCTAACATCATACTCAATCGTGATAAACTGAAAGTTTTTTCTCTAAGATCAAGAACATGACAAGAACGCCCACTCTTACCTTTTTATTCAACATAGTATTTAATACCTTTTTATTCAACATAGTATTTAATGCAAGTCCTAGCCAGAGCAACTAGGCAAGAAAAAGAAATAAAAGGCATCAAAATTGGAAAGGAAGAAATAAAACTGTCACTATTTACAGGTGATATAACTTTATATAAAGAAAACCCTAAAGACTTAATAAAAAAACTGTTAAATTCAGTAAAGTTGCAAGATACAAAATATACAAAAATCTGTTTTGATTTTATACACTAATAGCAAACTATCAAAAAGAGAAATTAGGCCCTGTCTGGTTAGAGTGTTGGCCCATACACCAAAGGGTCATGGGTTCGATTCCCACCCTGGTTGGGGGTGTGTGCAGGAGGCAACCAATCAATGTGCCTCGCATCAATGTTTCTCTCCCTTCCACTCTCTCTAAAAAAAGAAAAAAGAAAAAAAAAAAAATCAATGGAAAAAATGCCCTCCGGTGAGAATTAACCAGGAAAAAAAAAATCTCATTCACAATTGTGTCAGAAAGAATAAAATACCTAGGAATAAACTTTAACCAAGGAAGTGAAACACATATACATTAAAAACTGTAAGACATTGTGAAAGAAATTGAAGACACAAATAAAAGGAAAAATATTCTGTACTCACAGATCAAAAGAATAGTAAAAATGTCCAAAATACCCACAGCAATCCCTATCAAAATTCAAATGACATTTTTCACAGAAATAGAACAAAAATCCTAAAGTTTGTCAGGAACCACAAAGACCCCAAATTGCCAAAGCAATCTTGACAAAAAAGAGCGAACCTGGAGGTATCAAGCTCCCTGATTTCAAACTATATTATAAAACTATAGTAATGCCCTGGCTGGTTTGGTTGAGTGGTTAGAGCATCAGGGTCTCGAGTTTGATTCCCAGTGAAGGGCATGTACGTGGGTTGCTGGTTCAATCCCTGGCCCTGGTCGGGACTGTGCAGGAGGCAACCAATGGATGTGTCTCTCTCACATCGATGTTTCTCTTTCCCTCCCTTCCACTCTATCTAAACAATCAATGGGAAAATATCCTCTGTGGGAATTAACAACAACAAAACAGTATGATACTGGCAAAAAAAAAAAGATATATAGATCAATGAAACAAAACAGAGAACCCAGAAATAAACCCATGCATATATGGTCAATTAATTTATGACAAAGGAGCCAGGAATATACAATGGGAAAAGGACTGTCTTTTCTATAAATGGTGTTGGGAAACTGGAATACTACCTTACACCGTAAACAAAAATCAACTTAAAATAAAGGCTAAATGTAACCTGAAACCATAAAACTGACAGAAGGTATGCCCATTAATGATCTGTGTACCGTTGCTTGGTACAATCTCACATAAAAGGAACCTTCCAGTGAATTCTAAAATTGCTTAAAACTCAGAGTGCTATGGTTCCTAATCTTTCTAAGATCCTCCATTTGACAGTAATTTTTAAAATTCTTTCATAGTCAAGTCTAAGCATACCACCTAGATTCACAAGCAATCGATAACTGAAAATTCCCAGGGGTCTTTGGTTCAGATACAAACTACTGATCCAAATCACCCTCATTTCAGATTAACAAAATATGGCCTAGAGAGAGAAAGAAACTCACATTCACTCAACAACTTGAATGACAACACTCAGATCAATGGTGTATAAAATAGGTAAGACACCTTCTGGTAACTAAAGTGACCTTTATTTTATATCATCCTATTAGTTTTATTATTTTTACAACAAAAATATAAAATGCTTAAGATTTATTTAGATTGGTAAATAAAAAATAAGATTATCTAGTACAGAAACATGTTTAATAAATAAAAGCAAAAACCAAAGATCTGGTGAGAACCAAGAGGGCAAGACAAGCCTTAACTGAAAGTTTGGAAATACCCAAGGAGGTATTCCTTTGAGCTATATTCTCTCAACTTCCAGTGGCCATATTTAAATAAGCACATTAGCCAAGAAAGACTAGCAAAGTTTAATATTTTAAAAGATATCAAATGTAGACTTATTTTGTATTACAAAGTACTAATTTAAATAGATCCATTAAAATAGAGAATATTCAAGGAAGATCATTAATAAAAGTATTGGTTCCTCTACCCAAATTGTCAGACAAAGGAATTTACAGCATTTTATTGGTAGTGTTTTAAATCTCTAAAAAGTTTCAATACTTGTTCCTTAAACTTAAGTTTCTTAGGCTTTATAGAAAACCCACTACGATATCAAATGCTGATTATAAGTATACACTAAATAACTTTATAATAGAAATAAGTTTTAAAATGTTAACAAGGTGCTTTGTTTCTAAAATAGTCAATTTTAAATAGTCTAATAATTATGGATTATCATAGTAACTACATAAATGTATTACAGTAAATAGAACAGTTACATACATGAGCCATACTTGAAGCTCAGCTAGTTATGAATATGACATTACTAGACATCTACTTCCAAAGCTTCAACAATGTGCGCAGCAGAAGGACGATCTTTAGCCTCTTCATTAGTGCATACAGAGAAGAGCTCAATTACTTTCTGGTATGTTTCATCCAGTTCTTCCATATTAACAGGTGGCCTAGTTCCCAAAGCTGCATAGTATGCTTCATCATCGAAGTCACTTTCATCAAATGTTTTATCTGCTCATGAAGAAGTTTGAAACAAATAAAATCACTTTAAATCATGGAAAACTTATGACTGCTCAAGCTCGCCCTTCTGAAACAAAAAGTCATCATCCAGTATACTTTTCATTATACCACAGCCTCTCCAATTGTCCTGCCATGGTGTAGATTAGCTACTGTTATGAATTTATTACATGGATTTATTCCATGGTTATCAACCCTTACTATGATAGCTTTCTAATTTTCTTCTCAGGCAAGGGGAGTTTTTTTGTTTATCTTTACCGGAGAACATTTTTCCATTTTTTTGTTCAGATAGAGTGGGAGGGATTGAGAGGAAGAGAGAGAGAAACATCGACGTGAAAGGACACATGGAGTGGCTGCCACCCACATGACCCAACCAGGACTGGGGACAAATTGCAACCGAGGTACATGCCCTTAGCAGAAACTAAACCTGGGTCTCTCGGGACTGCAGGCCGATGCTTTAACCGCTGAGCCAAACCGGCCAGGGCGCAATGGAAAATTTTATTATTATTATTATAGCATTTATCTTCAGACAGAGTGGGAGGGAGAGAGGGGAAACATCAATGTGAGAGAGACACATCGAGTGGCTGCCACCCACATGACACCAACCAGGGCTGGGGACAAACTGCAACCAAGGTACATGCCCTTAGCAGAAACTAAACCTGGGTCTCTCGGGACCGCAGGACGACACTCTAACCGCTGAGCCGAACCGGCCAGGGCGCAATGGGAGTTTTTAAGGTAACATTTTGCTTCTTGAAATTTTCTCAATTTATCTCCCCATTCTGAATTAATCTACCTCTCATTTGTATGAAGTTAAACCGAAAAGGTACCAAATTAGTAAGTATTAGTATTAATATAATCCGTATCTCGTGCCATTAAATAACTTGTTCTTTTTAAAATTAACTTAATAGAAAAATAAAATATCATTTTATAAACTAATCTTATTTCAAACCAGATTTGGATTTACAGTAAAAATATGTAGTTATACCTTCATTTCCATCATCTGAAAGAGTGATGTGTGGAATAGATAAAGTCATCATCTCCCACAGAGTAAGGCCAAAGGCAAATATGTCTGCCTTGTCAGTAATAATACCATTGTCCTCCAAAGCTTCCTTGGGTTTCCAAGGCTCAGTGCCAATATAATAGGCCTCAGGGTCAGTCACTGAAACAAGTAAAATACAGGTGAATTGTCATAAGGACAAACACTAGAAATCACTAAGAAAGGCAAACCACCACCACCCCCTGCTCCTGCAAGAAAAAAAAAGGGAAAATGATTTGACAGGTAGTTTAAAGGTTACCAAATATAGCCAGTAAACATGAAAAAATATATACTCAACCTCATTAATAAGAATTAGTTTTTCCTTACAAGATTGATAATTTTTTTTTTTTAAAAGCTGGATAGTTGGCAAGGGTGTAGAGAAGCAGCAATTGCTTTTGAAAGCGGTAAGAATATAAATGGATTGTGGATGTTAAGAGTACAGACTCTGGAGCAAGATGGCCTTGCCTGGGTTCAAAGACATTTGCAACCTGTTACCTTAAACAGATCATTTAATCTGTGCCTATTTCTTCCTATTTCAAACTATGTTGTTATTAGAATGAGAGAAGTACCATTTCTGTGCTTCTATGATTGCTAAATGTGGGGAAAAGAGAAAGGGTTGAATCACATAATTGGCTTCTGCCCAGGAGTGAGAGATCCACATACATTTCCATTTAAATTTCAGACAATCTGTCAATTTCAATGAAAAATCCAGCTAAAATATTTATTAGGATTGGAAGGAATATTAGATCAGTTTGAAAAGAATTAACATCATAATAGTGTTGAATCTGTTAATCCACAATCATGATCTTTCTCCATTTACTTCTTTGCCTCTCAGTGATGTTTTATGGTGTTCAGTATATAGTTTTTTTTTTATCCTCACCCGAGGACACTTCTGCATTTATCTTCAGATAGAGCAGGAGGGAGAGAGGGAGGAAGAGAGAGAGAGACACACACACATTGACTGGTTGCCACCCACACAACCCCAATCGGGGCAGGGGACAAACTGCAACCAAAGTTCGTGCCCTTAGCAGGAACCGAACCCAGGTCTCTCTGGTCGGCGGGCTGACGCTCTAACGGCTGAGCAAAACTGGCCAGGGCAGTTGACTTTTTTTATTAGATTTATTCTGAAATATTTTATGCTTTTCGGTACATGTAAATAGAACTTTTTTTCATTTTCCAATGAACTATACATAGAAATATAACAGCTAACTTCACTTATTAATTCTAGTAGTTCTTTTGCAGGTTTAGATTTTTCTATTTAAACAATCACAACTGTAAATATGAACAATTTCATTTCCTTTCCAATCTTGATGGCTTTTAGTTTGTTCCTGCTTTTTATTTATTTATTTATTTATTTTTATCCTCACCCGAGGATATTTTTCCATTTTTTGTACAGATAGAGTGGGAGGGAGAGAGAGGAAGGGAGAGAGAGAGAGAAATATCGACATGAAGGGACACATCGAGTGGCTGCCACCCGCACGACCAACCAGGGCCGGGGACAAACTGCAACCGAAGTACGTGCCCTTAGCGGGAACCGAACCCGGATCTCTCTGGACCGCAGGCCGACGTTCTAACCGCTGAGCCAAACTGGCCAGGGCAGTTTGTTCCTGCTTTAATAGGACTGTAGGACAGTGTTAAATAAAAATGGCCAGAGCAGGCATGTTGGCCTTGTCCTAAATTAAAGGATAATGTTGCCTGTAGGTTTTTCTGTAGATACCCTTTCTGAGCTTAATTTCCTTTCTATGTCTATTTAGCAAGTGTTTTTTTGTTTTGTTTTTTTAATCATGAATAGAAGGTGGATTTTGTCAAATGCTTTTTCTGTATCTATTGAGATGACCATGTAGTTTTCAAATCTGTTAATATAGTGAATTGTGTTGACTTTTGAATATTAGCTTTTCTATCCCGAGAGAAACCCTAGTTGGTCAGATATATTTTTTTATATAGTTAGATTTAATTTGCTAATTATTTTGTTAAGGATTTTTACAGATATGTTTGCAAAGGAGAGTGGACTATGATTTTTTTTTTTTTATAATGTCTTTGTCAGGTTTTGATATTAGAGTTATGCTGGTCTCAGAACAAATTTTCTAAATAAAATTTTGTAAAATCAGTATTTTTTCTTCCTTGGATGTTTGATAGAAATTAACAGTGAAAACATATCTGGGTTTGGGGTTTTCTTTGAGGAACTGTTTCTTTCATACAGGGCTTTTTGGATTTCCTATTTTTTCCTATATCAATTTTGGTAAACTGTATTTTTCAAGGAAATTATTCTTTTAATCAAAATCGTCAAGTTTGTTGGTATAGAGCTGTTTGTAATAATCTATTGATCATTAAATGTGTAAAAACTGTGGCAATAACCTCTCTCATTCTTAATATCATGATTTGTGGTCTCTTTTTTTCTTCAGCAATACAGCTAAGGATTTGTCAATTTTATTATCTTTCAAAGAAGCAGCTTTTGGTTTTATTAATATTTTCTAGTGTTTGGTATTTATTTCATTGATTTCTGCTCATCTTTATTTTTCCCTCTCTGTTTACTCTGGATCTTCTCTGCTCTTCTCTTTCTCACTTTGGAACATAGGTTATTGATTTTGATCCTTTTTGCTAATATAATCATGTACACAGTTACAAATTTATTCAATTCAAAATATTTTCCAATTATTCTTGTCATTTTCTTTGATGCACAAGTTATTCAAATTTGGGTTGAATTGCCAAATAATTGGGGTTTTCCTAGTTATTGTATTGGTTTCTAATTTAAATCCAGTGGTCAACAAACATACTCTATCTTTTCTTCCATAATTTTATTTTTCATATTTAAAGGCTCTACTTCTGCTGTGACTAGGATAAACTCAAGCTTTTACAAACACAACATTCACTGGGCAGCGTAATATATTACACTAAAAATAAAAATTTTCACTATTAGATTGCTATTAACCTGCATTTATTCACGAGTAATGTCACAGTAAAATCAAACCAAATATAACTGACTTTCAAATAAATAGAAAAGCAACAACAGGGGGAATGTTTAATAAAAGCTTCTCTTCAGAACTAAAAAAAATTTCTGCCTTGAGGGTCTCCAGAAATTTTTTTAAAAAGAGAAAGAAAACTAATATTTGAAGAACAAACAGGAGGATTGAGGAGGAAAATTAAGAATTGTGAAGTAATAAAATTGAAGATTATAGTCAATAAGCACTCATTCATTCATTCAACATTTTGTTGGAGATACTTAATAAGCAAGTAGGCTCTGTTTGAAGATAACATGAGAACAAAGATGCCAGACTAGGACAGTATCCAGCATCAGGTGGCAAGAATGAAAGCTGCCTCTATGACAGCCTTTTTTTTACTTAATTCAGCTTTAGGGCAATGAAGTTTGGAAAACAGTCACGTACAATATAAGCTCCTTGAAGGCTTTCCCCTGCACCACCTTATACCCAAGAGGCACTTAATGGTATTCGCAACTACGAGTCTACTGATAATGGTCCACACAGCATTGATTGTGGCAAAAAAAGATTCTTACCCCATTCTAAATAGGTCAAATTACTACAGGGATCTGCCAGGCTAAAAAGTAGCTTTCTAGAACTCGATCTAATATATCAGTTCCAATGGAAGACTCTAGCCAACTACAAGTGCATTTCCTGTATGTCCATTGACATTTTTCCTAATTTGTGAATAGAATTTAAAGATAATGGAAGCAGTTCCCCCATGATGCTAATTAACTTGCTTCTTCGTGAAAATGAACTGTTTTGACAACAAAAGTTTGATGAGATCATAAATTAACAGTCATTCCTTTATTGCCCTTAACTAAATTCAAAGATTTTAAGCAGACAATACTTTTTTCAGTTCTCATGGATACTATCTCAAATTAAAACTGATGAAACGAGTTGCTTCTCATCCTTCAATTCTGTTTAATACTTTATTTAGGAAGGCTTTTCTCAACATCCAGGCTGGGTTAAGTGGCACTGCCATATTCACATAACTCCTTGTAGTATAATAGTCATTATACTTTAGTGGTATTATTCAAGAGCTACTTTCCATCTTAGATTATGAGCTCTAAAAGGGTAAGGACTGGGTATACCCCATTTTCCTCTACTCATCATTCTTTCATAAAAATTGACTGGCTATGTTTGAAAATGTATCCTCAGGGATGAACTTTACATTCACTTAGATATGTTCTACAATAAAATAAATCGTTGTCTAGCCGCTGTGGCTCAGTGGTTGAGCGTCGACCCATGCACCAAGAGGTCACCAATTTGATTCCCAGTCAGGACACATGCCCAGGTTATGGGCCTGATCCCCAGTGAGGGGCATGCAGGAAGCGGCCAATCGATGTTCTCTCTCATCAATGTTTCTCTCTCTCCCTCTCTAAAATCAATAAAGAAAAAAAAATTTTTTTTAATAAAAAAATAAATTGCACTGGAATGTTACAGAACAGACTCTAATTCATTAATGCATTTTTGCTTTGTTTTCTTGGGAGCTTCATTTTTTTATTTCCTGATTTGAATATTCAACTTCATAAAGGTTAATAAAAATTTTTCCTTTGACCATATCAAATAGTCTTTTATTATTTTTGTTGTTGCTGCTAGTCCTCACTCAACAATATTTTCTCATTGATTTTTTTTTCAGATAGGGAGGGAGGAAAGGGGAGGGAGGAAGAGGGAAGGAGGAAGAGGGAAGGGGGGAGGGAGGGAGGGAAGGAGGGAGGGAGGAAGGGGGAGAGAGAGAGAAATATTGACTGGTTGCCTCCCTCACAACCCCAACCAGGGCAGGGGATCAAACCTACAACTCAAGTATGTGCCTTTGACCAGGAATTGCACCCATGGCCCTTTGGTCCTCAGAGCAAAACTGGCCAGGGCTCAAATAGCTTTAGATTTGTTGTTAGATTCTTAATGTTTTCTAAATATTTTATAACTAGAAACTAATTTCTTCTTTCAGCCAATAATCAATTAAAAGTGGTTTAAATTCCTAAAAAGTTTGGGTTTTTTTTTCCAATTGTGTTACTAATATCTAGATATATAGCACTGAGGACAATAAATATCAACCACTGGGCTATCTTTACTTTTCGTAATCTGAGGTTTTCTTTTGTAATCTAATATATTTAATCTAATAAACATTCTAATGTATAGAGATTTACCTTATTATCTACTAAATCTTTTACATCTTAGTTTTATCTATTTCATGTATTAAGGATTGATAAAATTATGCTAAAAATCTTATGTTTATTCTTTTTAACAAATTCTCCTTTTATAAAGTTTCAAATTGGTAGTAGTTATTTAACCTGAGGGTTCATGACTTTATTTAGACTTTTTCCTTCAATTCAACTTGACTTTAATTTTAGCTGGAAATTAAGGTATACATATGTTCTAAACAGCATTTATATAAAGAGGAAAATGCAATGTTATTTATTAAATATGCTGAAAGCAGAAATTTTCTCTTTGAGGCTCTCTCTCAGTCCTAAGAACATCCTAAATTCCCCAAGAAGAAAACGATCAGTATTCACGACAAAGAGAGAGGAACAGTGGGGTGGGACCGGGAGCAAACAGCGGCCGACTGGCCATGACTAGCACTCCTCCTCCTGCTCCCACTCCAGTTCCTGCTTCCGTCGGTTTCCCACCCCGTCACTACACCAATGCTGAATGAATGCCTTATAAAATCTTAATAAAATTTTATTTTCTATTCACAGATCTCTACCACTTAAAAATTCCAATCTAAGTTAGAAATAGCTCCCAAAGTTGTCTTCAGTTAAAACATATATTAGTAATAAAATAGTAATTTATATTGTGTGTGTTTGGCAAGAGAGGGGGCGAGTGAAAGAGACAAGAGTAATACTTTCTGTTACATACTTTTTTTACTAATAGTTTTTGATTTTTGAAGAACATGAACTTTTTATTTATTTAAATATATAAAAACTAGAAAATTTTAAATTATATATAAACAAATTTAAAAAATTAGACTACTACTCACCTGTCATATTTTCATCCAATGGTAGAGAGACTCCTACATCACAAATTTTAATTGTTTCAAAATCACCTTTAATTACAACATTTGAAGATTTTATGTCTCCATGAAGCAATTTCTTATCTTGGTGCAGATACTAAAATAGTGAAAAATTAAACACATCTGAGCAAAAATACAAACCATATATATATATAATAACCTTCAAACAAATATAATCTGAACTCTCCTCCTAAATTACAGGATTATAACCATCCATCATTTCAAATTATTTTAAGCTAGAGAAGGAAACATCCCATGTTATCTTGGTCTGCCATACCGACCAGAAATCTAAAAGATTTTTGGAAATGGATGTCTGTTTATAGAGAAGCTCACTTATTTATTTACAAACCCATCTTACATACTTTTATATCAAAAGATGCTCCAGCAGGGTAACTAAGTTGGTTGGAGCGTCATCCATACATCCAAAAGGTTTCGGGTTTGACCTGGTCAGGGCACATACTTAGGTTGCAGGTTTGATCTCCAGTCAGGGGGCATACAGGAGGCAACTAATCAATATTTCCTTTTTACATCGATGTTTCTCTTTCTCTCCTCTTTCCTCTCTCTCTAAAAATCAGTAAAACCTATCCTTGGGTGAAGATATAAAAAAGATACTACAGTAGCTATCAAAATATACTGCAACTTTACTTAAGGCTAGAAATTTTTAGGAATAATTTTGGAATCTTCACAATGAATCATACTTTTTTCCAAACAAATTCAGATAATGCAAAATAAGAGACAGCTTAGAGCAACACAAAATTCACAAGAACAGAGGAAGCAGAAATGTAATCTAAGGCTATATTTTGTTTTACACATTAACCCTTTCTTAGAACTGACAACTAACAATATTTATCAATAATCAAAAATGTCCTACAAAACTGTTATTTGTTCATTCATTAGCATTTAAGCATCTACTCTGTGACTTGGTTTGAAAATGATACAGAGACAATTCTTGTAATATAATTTGAAACACTCACTGTGCTTAATTTAAATGTTGCCTATCATATGCCCTGGCTGGTTTAGCTCAGCGGTTAGAGCATCAGCCAGAGGACTGAAGGGTTGAGGGTTTGAGTCCCTGGCAAAAACACATAACCTGGGTGGTAGGTTCGATCCCTAGACCTAGTTGGGGTCATGTGGAAGGCAACCAATCGATGTCTCTCTCACATTGATGTTTCTCTCCCCCCCTTTCCCACTCTCTGAAAAATCAATGAAAAAAGTGAAGATTAACAGAAAAATAAATAAATAAATGCTGCCTACCACAAAGAGAATATGCTAGAACATATTTATAACATAATTTGATTCCATTATATATTTAAAACCATTTATTAAATAATTCAAATTATTTAGTTTATCCTATCCACTTAAAATTGGTTTTTCTATACATGTGCTAAAAACATATACATTTAGAAATATTGCCTTTTTCCAGTTTCACATTTCATGAATCAATTTTATTTCAACCCTTAACATGCAACTCTGACATCAGTATCATTACATGATCTGCATTTGAGTCATCCAACAGTTTTCTGGGGCCATCATTACTTCTGTTTAAGTTATTTAGGATATACAAAATTTATAACAGTGTCCATCCAAAGGCACAATAATTTATTTGCATAAAACTGACAGCCTTTTTGCCCTGGCCAGTTTGGCTCAGCGGTTAGAGCGTCGACCTGCGGTCCCAAGAGGCCCGGGTTCGGTTCCCGCTAAGGGCGCGTATCTCAGTTGCAGTTTGTCCCCGGCCCTGGTTGGTCGTGCGGGTGGCAGCCACTCGATGTGTCCCTTTCACATCGATGTTTCTCTCTCTCTCTCTCTCTCTCTGTTCCTGTCTCTCCCTCCCACTCTACCAGAACAAAATTGGAAAAATGTCCTTGGGTGAGGATAAAAAAAACAAAAAAACAAAAAACTGACAGCCTTTTTTAATTTGACCTATAGATGACTATTCATGATGCTCAAAATTTATCCCACAAAGCAGTCTTTAAGAGACTTGTTTGCATTAACAGGGAGTTAGGCTATACCCTCAGAAATAATTAGTAAATTTGTGTTAAATTTAATCCTTTCACAACTAAATTTAACACGTGATCTCTGTAAGCAAAACTGCCTGACTTGGGTTATTTCAGACTACGCAAAGGCCTCAATCAACTTTGTTGATCAAAATAAGGAAATAGTGCACTCTGCAATGCAAAAGATTCCATAAGGCAACTTTCACTTAAGGCAACCCTTTTGGGGAAAGGATTGGGGGCTACCATGTAATTAGGAATATAAAGTACTTAGTTTTTTAATGTTCCACAAAAGTCATGTAACATATAATGCACAGTTACCTTTAACCCTCTTGCCATGTTCAAAGCAACTTTTAAAATTATGGCTGCTGGAAAAGGACCGTGGCAGTCTTTACCTCGTTCTTCTATTAAGTCATTTAGAGACTTTTCACCCCCATATTCCATAGCAAGACATAGACTACCATCATTGGCTTCAGTGAAAGCACGATAACCTTAAAGAAGCATAACATTTTCTTACTAAAATAGGATAGTACAGTACTTAAATTTTTTACAATACTGTGACTAAAAATGGATCTGGATTAACACTGACAAATATACAATGAAATCAGCTATTATTTATAAAACTAATTCAGTAATCTAATTTAAAGTATCTTCAGTGTTTACAAATAGTATCACTACTTCAAATTTTAAAATATTTTATGCATTCCTAAATATGATGGTTCATGAGCCCTACTTATATTAAAAATGAAAACAAGGAAATTATCTAAATAAAAATCATTTTATATTCCTGAATTCTCCATAGTACCAGCATCATGACGACTGTAACCATTCCCATGAATTTTAAATATGTACTTAAAAATTTTAAAATAATATACTTTTATTTTAGAATGTTCACATTAATTTGATTCTTACCAAACTCTACCACCACCCTCTTCGTTTTTATTACTGTAACTGGTTAAGAGATTATATAAACTGTTTCTGATAAACAGAATAATATACCAGATACTGCTACCAAATAAATTTAAACTTACCTATGATGTTTGGATGATGAAGGTTTTTCAAAATCTTAGCTTCATCAGTTAGTCTCTTTTGGTACATACTTTGATAATGACCATTACATCTAGAATTAATCTTTTTCACAGCCCAAGGAGAATGGGACAAGCCTCTTGGAGATCTTAAAAAAATAATTTATCATAAAATGTATAAAGATTAATAAACATAATACATTTTAAATGACTAACAAGTACTTCCAAATTCTGAAAAGAACTTGATAGTAATTTGGGGTTTGTTTTTTTTTAATTTTTTTCTTTATTAATTTTTTTGAGAGAGACAGACAGAAACATCGATGAGAGAGAACATCGATGGCTGCCTCCTGCATGCCCCCAACTGGGGATTGGGCCCACAACCTGGGCATATGCCCTGACCAGGAATCGACCTCTTGGTGCATGGGTCGACGCTCAACCACTGAACCACAATGGCTGAGCAGTAAATTGTTTTTTAAAAAAATATTTACAAATTTTATACTATCAATACCTCTGCTATAATTCCTTTTTAGTTGGGAGATGAATAGCTCATATTTCTATTGATTACAAGACTAGCCTGATATCTATTGCTCGAAAGGAGAGGATAAATAGAGAGAACTAGGAGAAAAAGAATGAAATATAACTTTTAAACTTCAAGATTACTATTTAAAATTTTTCTATTCAAGCATGTCGCACTACTAACTACTTATCAAATATTTAACTATATGTACTACAGACAAGTTCTAGAATGCTAAAGTGATAAACACTAATCTCTAAGAAACAATTTAAAGAAGAGACATACAAGAAACATTTGACCATATGTAATCATCCAAATAGTAGACTGTTCTTCACCAACAAATATTGTGCCTCTCCACTAACCAATCCATGTTATACCTTTCACTGCATATTTAAAGATATGAGCTTAAGGCAATAATAATAAAGATACAAATGAAAAAAAAAAGTAAGTTGCTTATTTTCTAAGAAGATTGACTGGCCGTCTTACTATTTAAAGTGTAAATGTTTCGAGACCTATATAAACAAAGAGGTAAAACAAAGTCAGAGAAAGGTTCACCAGACAAGGTAGCCATTTATTTATGAGTACAGCCGATTATGAAAACAAGGTATATGCAGCACATAGGCACAAAAGCTAGTAAAAGAACCTCAAAAGTTAAAGATAAAGTTTACCTATAAGAACATAACAATAGACTGAACCAAGAATCCATTTAGCTTTGTACTACCTCATAAGCATAGCTCTATGATTGTAGGACCTTTAAAAAAAAAACCCAGCTACTCAAAGGATCACTAGATTTCTTAATTCATATACATCTACCATTCATACTTTTATCTAAAATATTCTTAAACTCAAGTTTTAGATAACAGCATTTGGGGATAAGTTCTTTCCTGTTATTTTATTGTGAAAAATATATTTTTCAAGTTTCAAGGGGTATCCCACAATTCTCAAATATTTAGAATTTAGTGACCAAGTCCATCTTCACCTTTTCCATAACATATCCTAATTTACAGAGTGACACAAATATATTTACGAAGTCTGAATAAAATACTTTTGCCAAGCTCTAAAAGTTGGTTTACTAAAAAGGCTAATAAAACAGATTTCTGATGAGACTGTACAAGGAAAAAAATAAAAGGAAGAACAAATAATATTGTAATAAAAAATGGGGACATAACTACAGATACAGAAGAGATTAAAAAATATCAGTGAATACTAAAACTTTTACATCAATAAATTTAAAAAGACAAAATGATCAAATTCTTGGAAAAATCTAATAAAACTTATGAAAAGTTATTTAATTAAGAATTTTAAATCTTCCCACAAGAAATACAAAGCCTAAGTAACTTTCCAGGTGAGTTTACTAAACTTTCAAGGAACCTATCATTCAATCTGTTCCAAACAATAAAAAGAAAAGGTGCTTAGAGTCTAGTACAGTGGTTCTCAACCTTCCTAATGCCGCAGCCTTTTAATACAGTTCCTCATGTTGTGGTGACCCCCAAATCATAAAATTATTTTCGTTGCTACTTCATAACTGTAATTTTGCTACTGTTATGTCTTAGGTGACCCCTGTGAAAGGGTCGTTCGATCCCCAAGGGGGTTGTGACCCACAGGCTGAGAACCGCTGGTCTAGTATAACCTTAATTTTAAAAATCGAACAGAAACAGTAGTAAAATGAAAATCAAGGCCAATTTAGTTATAGCATAGATGCAAAAATTCTGAACAAATAGCAAACTAAATCGATCAGTATATTAAAAAAAATACATCAAGCCCTTGCCGGTCTGGCTCAGTGGTTGGAGCATCGGCCCGTGGACCAGAGTCACGGGTTTGATTCCTGTCAAGGGCACGTACCTCAGTTGCAGTTCAGTTCCCAGCCCTAGTCAGGATTGTGCAGGAGGCAACCAGTCGATGTGTCTCTCACATTGATGTTTCTCTCTCCCTCCCTCCCTCCCATGCTAGCTGAAGATAAATGGAAAAGTATACTTGGGTAAGGATTTAAAAATAAAAAAGATTTAAAAATAACAGTAATAATAATACATCAAAACTATGTTGGGTTTAAAGTATGAATACAAATTTAGCACTAAAAATATACTTTTAGATCAAAATGATAGTTTTAAGGTACACATATAATTTTGATCCCTCTCAAGCCTCACTCAAATAAAAGCAAATGGGTATTTTAAGACATATACCCACCAACAAGGATGAAAATAATGAAGAAGAGTTAACAGCAACAAACTTTTGGAAGCTGGAAAGCAGATTAAAGTAAATGACTTAACAGGCTCAATGAATTTCTTGAAAGTTATTCAAAAAGCAGGCGGATTCCTAGATATCCTCCTTGATTCAGTATCTCTAGACAGTTGCCTATTCCCTATTCCCCCAGCTTCTCAAGACTGCAAACTAGCTTTGAAAGGGGCTAAGGTTTACTAGCAAAGCTGAATACCTGTGAACCACATAGGAACATGGTAATTCATGATCATATGCATACTAAATGCTTAATGAGTTTTCATATGTTATCATTATCCAGATCAAGATACAGAACATTTCTAGCACTCCCAAAAGACTTAGGATGCCATTTTAAAAATGGAAACTTTGCCTTGGCCAGTCTGGCTCAGTGATTAGAGTGTCTGCCCACACACTGAAGGGTCATGGGTTCAATTTCTGGTGACAATAGGGAATTTATGAATAGGAATTTCCAGAATCCAAGAGGCCCACAACCATGCATGTCACTGTGAAGTTTCAGAACATTGGTGACAAACAGAAGATCATGCAAGGTTTCAGAACACTAGTACAGATAACATAAAACAGGTAACAAAAAAAAATCAGCTATCAGAAAGGCTTCAGAATTCTCAGCAGCAACACTGCAAACTAACAGACAATGGAACAATGTTCTCAAAACTGTAGAGGAAAATCATGTCCAAATGATAATTCTGACCCAGAAAAACAAGAAGAACCATTCAATTTGAGGGTAAAATGAAAACATCTTCAGAAATGCAAATTCTCAAAAATGTATCTCCTGTGTACCTTTTCACAGGGAGCTATCAGATGTCCTCAAACAAATCAAGATGTAAACCAAGAAATAGTAAGACGAGTTACAGAATAACAGAGAATCCAGTTCACCAGAGAAGCAAAGGAAATCTCCAGGTTACCAGAAGGGGAAAATCCCAGGCTGATGGGAGGAGTGGTAGGATCAGGAAAGGACTGCTATTTTCAATTATCAGCCATATGAAGCTTTTTAAGTTACATACAGTATAACTTTGTTAATAATACACTTTACACTTAGAGACTTTTTTTTTTAAAGAAAAAAAAATTAGACCTATGAACCTATAAGAATATTTTTCTTTCAGAATAACTTAGACAAGAGTTTTTAGGAACTAAAAAAAAAAAAGTTCACAAAACAGCATACAAACACAAAGGGGTGTTTAAATTGCAAACATACTTCAAGAATACCCACTTACATAATATTGCTATACTAATCTCATTCATTAGCTTTTTATTAAAGAAAGCACTTCTATCTAGAAACAATATAAACCTAAAACCATGCTGTACTGGTCAGGCTGATTCCCTTCCCATACAAGCCAAGGAAAAATTATAAGGTAAATTACTGATCCTTTAATAATCCATCAGGAGAAAAGCTAGAAGAAAAGTGTATCAGACAGAGCTCTGGTGAAGTTATAAAAGATTCTAAGACTGGAATATAGCAGTCAGGTAGAATCAGGAACATATGTCAAATCTAAATATCTGAATTTTCATATTCCTGTCTCTAAGTACAGTAAAACTATGGTTCCATATAAAAAGGTTAATCTATAAATATACTCACCTTTTCATAAGGTAGACATTCACCCCGGTGCCATAGCCAAGCTTCTGCATAAATGGAGAGGCAGGAATATTTATACATGGAGTTGAACATAATGCTAAATGTCAGAAAGAAATTAAAAATAAAATTAATATTTGAAAGACCTCTACAAATACATCCAAACATTTGCAACACACTATTGTTAAGAGTAATCTTTTAGAGAGCAATTTGATACTATCCACCCTAATTTTTGTTGATAATCCTCACCCAAGGATATTCTTCCTTTAATTTTTTTTTTATCCTCACCCGAGGATATTTTTCCATTTTTTGTACAGATAGAGTGGGAGGGAGAGAGAGGAAGGGAGAGAGAGAGAGAAACATCGACATGAAGGGACACATCGAGTAGCTGCCACCCGCACAACCAACCAGGGCCAGGGACAAACTGCAACCGAAGTACGTGCCCTTAGCGGGAACGGAACCCGGGTCTCTCTGGGCCGCAGGCCGACGCTCTAACCGCTGAGCCAAACTGGCCAGGGCTTCCTTTGATTTTCTAAATAGAGTGGAATGGAGGGAGGGAAAGAGAGAGAGAAATATCGATGTGAGAGAAACGTATCAATTAGTTTGAGACCCCACCAAAAGACCCCAACCAGGGCCAGGGATTGAATCTGCAACCCAGATGCGTGCCCTTGACTGGGAATCAAACCCGTGACCCTTCAGTGTGTGAGCTGACACTCTAACTGCTGATCAAAATTGGCCAAGGGTATCCATTCTAATTTTAAATGCAGACCCCTTGACTAAGTCTACTTTTGGAGCTCTATGAGTAACACTGAAGCAGGGGGTCAGCAAATAGCTTATTTTTGTATGACTCACAAGTTAAGAATTGTTTTTTTAAAGGGTTGATTGAAAACAATAGGTAAAGCCCTGGTAGGTTTGGCTCAGCGGTTGCAGCCCGCAGACCAGAGAATCCCAGGTTCGGTTCCTGCTAAGGGCACGTACCTCAGTTGTGGTTTGTCCCCGGCCCGGTTGGGGTCATGTGGGTGGCAACCACTTGGTGTGTCTCTCTCACATCGATGTTTCTCTCTCTCTCCCTTCCAGCTCTATCCGAAGATAAACGCAAAAAAATGTCCTCAGGTGAGGATAAAAAAAAGAAGAAAAAACAGGTAAAAAAGAATATGCAATAGTGTCCCTATGTGGCCCACAAGCCTAAACTATTTACCATCTTGCCCTTTACAAAGAGTTTGCCAATGCCTACAGTACAGCATGTGCCCAAAGACATCATATACGCACACACATGCAAGCACATATATCTGAATACTGGGATTCACTTCTGTGGCTGCAGAAAACACACATAAAACCCTAATTAATCATCATTAATCATAATTATATTATATCTATATTATACAGTCTTTAAAAAGATGAGATAGAGGAGTCCTACTTTTGCTAATAAAAAATTAACTGCTCTTGGAATGGCCATCTAGAAAACTTGACAAAATTAGTAGTTTTCATATACCTGACAATAAGGCAGAGCAGGATTGTGCTCTTTCAGAGAAGAGAAACAAATGGGGTGAGCCCTATCTATTGTCCTAACTTACCACTCAGTGGCAGTTTCCAGGCCACAACACAAAGAAACACAGCTCAGCAGTCTTGTTAAATTGAGAGAGAGAGAGATCAGAGGTCAAGACCTAAATAGCTAAAATTTATGCAGCAGATAACTAAAGAGGGAGCCACAAAATAAGAAAGCTCCAGAGATCTAAAAAGAGGTCTCCCTTTAAGCATTTGACTAAGTACTTTCTGTACATATAATAGACATAGACTCCCCAAAGCCAGGGAAACTACCAAACAAACCCAAGTAGTTGGCTAAATCATTACAGGAGATTACACATCAGCCAGTGTGTTAACTCTGTAACACAGGGCATTGAGTAAAGTACTCTAAAGGGTTATGGCTTAGTACTACAGCTAAATTTTAGCCCAAGGAAAAAGTTTAGAACGAAGCCTAAAAGCAAGCCTCAAAAAAAATAAACTATGTGCAGAAAACTTAATTGCAGGTGGAGCAAAACACATTCACACACCCTTCAAAGGAATAACAAAGTTCAGCACTCAACAATGTAAAATGTCTCACAGTCAATAAAAAAATTACCAGGAATGAAAGAAGAAAACTTGACCCATTCCAGGTGGAAAATAAACCAACAGAACCATACCACAAAATGACAGTGATGTAGAAGTAGCAGATAAAAGCCTTACTATATAAATCTTTAGAAATATACTCAATAATGTAAAAGAAAATGTGAGCATAACAAGTTAAAACAGAGAAGTAAATAAAGATCCTAATGGAACTTTAGAATCTCTGTATCTTCCGATCAATTTTACTATGAATCTAACTGCTTTAAAAATAATCTATTACGCACACGTGCACACACACACACACAAAACCCCAAAACTCTCTACATTTAATATAATACTTCATGCGAACAAGGAAAGGATATCTATTCATTTTTTTTCTACTAAAAAATATGCTGGAGCCAGTGCCATAAGAAAGTAATACAGATTAGGAAAAAAAGTAAAACTATCTTTATTTGTCTATAATATTACCAACTATGTACAATGTACAATATCCTAAGCAATCTATTAAAAAAAAATCTAGAGTCCGGTCAAGATGGCGGCGTAGGTAAACGCGGTATAGCGTCCTCCCACAACCACATCAAAGTTACAACTAAACTACAGAACAGCCATCATCCAAAACCGCCTGAAATCAAGCTGCATGGAAGTCCTACAACTACGGAATTAAAAAAAAAAGCAGCCACATCCAGACTGGTAGGAGGGGCAGCGGCGAGACGGGCTGGTCCCACACCCACGTGTGGCGGATAAAAATCAGGAGGCTCCCCGGCTGGGAAGGTCCTTCCTGAGGACTGAGGGGTCCCCGTCCCACACCAGGTGCCCCGCTCAGGATTCCAGTGCCAGGAAGAGAAGTCCCCATAACTTCTGGCTGGAAAAACCAGCAGAAACTGAGGCTCAGGGAAGCTGAGGCGGCTGGAGCCCCAGGCAGCTCCCTAAAGGGCCCGCGCACGGACTTGTCACTCTCTCCCTCTAAGCTCGGAGGGGAGGCAGCTCGAGGGGCACCAGAGACATACAGGGAAGAACTGAGCTGTTTGGCACTGGAGCGAGGGCTGGAGAGGGGGCTTTCTCGGGGACAAACGTGCTGTCAGAGGCCTTTGTTCCTTTGGTGAGTCCTTCCCGGAGCGGCAGACAGAAGCCATATCTGGGACTCCAGCAACCTGGCTCACACTGGTAGCCCCGCCCTGCTGACTCCCTGAGGCCCCGCCCCACCCCATACAACTTTCAAGCCCACCCAAGCTGTTGCCACTTGCTTAACCATAGGATTGGCCAGTTTTGGATCCTGCTTCAGGTTTTTCCTAAATTCTTTCAAACGAGCAGCATCGGGTCTCAGCAAGCCCCATACCTCTCACTAAGTAATACACAGAAACAAACACAGGGAGGCAGCCAAAATGAGGATACAAAGAAATAGGTCCCAAATGAAAGAACAGAACAAAACCCCAAGAAAAGAACTAAGTGAAATGGAGATAAGCAACCTAACAGATGCTGAGTTCAAAATACTGTTTATAAGGATGCTCAATGAACTCAGTGAGGGCCTCAAGAGCATAAAAAAGGACCAGTCAGAAATGATCAATGCACAGTTAGAAACGAAGGAGGCTTTAACTGAAATAAAGAATTTACATAGCTTCAATAATAGAGTACGTAAATCCAAGGAGCAAACCATCGATTTGGAATATAAGGAAGCAAAAAACGCCCAATCAGAACAGCAAAAAGAAAAAAGAATCCAAAAAAATGAGGATAGTGTAAGGAGCCTCTGAGACAACTTCAAGCGTGCCAACATTCACATCTTGGGGGTGCCGGAAGGAGAAGAGAGAGAACAAGAAATCGAAAACCTGTTTGAAACAATAATGGCAGAAAACTTTCCTAACTTGGTGAAGGAAACAGACATACAAGTCCAGGAAGCACAGAGAGTCCCAAACAAGATGAACCCCAAGAGGCCCACACCAAGACACATCATCATCAAAATGCAAAAGGTTCAAGACAAAGAGAGAATCTTAAAAGCAGCAAGAGAAAGGCAGCTAGTTACCTACAAGGGAGTTCCCATTAGGCTGTCAGCTGATTTCTCAAAAGAAACTTTGCAGGCCAGCCCTGGCCGGTTTGGCTCAGCGGTTAGAGCGTCGGCCTGTGGTCCCGAGAGACCCGGGTTCGGTTCCCGCTAAGGGCATGTACCTCGGTTGCAGTTTGTCCCCGGCTCTGGTCAGTCGTGCGGGTGGCAGCCACTCGATGTGTCCCTTCAGGTCGATGTTTCTCTCTCTCTCTGTTCCTCTCTCCCCCTCCTACTCTACCTGAACAAAAAATGGAAAAATGTCCTCTGTCCTCGGGTGAGGATGAAAAAAAAAAAAAAAGAAACTTTGCAGGCCAGAAGGGGGTGGCAAGAAATATTCAGAGTGATGAAAACCAAGAACCTACAACCAAAATTACTCTATCCTGCAAAGCTGTCATTTAGAATCGATGGACATATAAAAACTTTCCCAGCCCTGGCCAGTTTGGCTCAGCAGTTAGAGCGTCGGCCTGCGGTCTGGAGAGACCCGGGTTCGGTTCCCGCTAAGGGCACGTACTTCGGTTGCAAGTTTGTCCCCGGCCCTGGTTGGTCGTGCGGGTGGCAGCCACTCGATGTGTCTCTTCACGTCGATGTTTCTCTCTCTCTCTCCCTCCCACTCTATCTGTACAAAAAATGGAAAAATATCCTCGGGTGAGGATTAAAAAAAAAAACTTTCCCAGACAAGAAAAAGTTAAAGGAGTTCATCACTACCAAACCGTTATTATGAAATGATGAAAGGTCTTTTTGAAGAAAAAGATAAAATGTATGAACAAACAAAATGGCAATGAATACATATCTATCAACAATGGAATCTACAAACAAAATGAACAGGAAGAACAGGAACATTCTCATAGATACAGAGAATATTTTGTTGGTTGCCAGTTGGGAAGGGGGTTGGAGGAATGGGTGAAAAAGGTGAAGGGATTAAGAAGCACAAATTCATTGCTAGACTGACAAACCTCAAAGGGAAAGGGGTTGGGGGGGGGGGGGAGAGATAAACCAAAGAACTTATATGCATAACCAATGGACACAGACAATAGTTTGGGAAAAGGTGGGAGGGGGGCGGGTGTGGGGAGGAGGGGGTCAATGGGGGAAAAATGTGAACATCTGTAATACATTTTACATCCAACAATAAAGATGTGAAAAAAAATAAAAGATAAAAATAAAAGTAATGAGCCCTGGCCAGTTTGGTTCAGCGGTCAGAGCGTCGACCTGCAGTCCTGAGAGACCCGGGTTCGGTTCCCGCTAAGGGCGTGTGCCTCGGTTTCAGTTTGTCCCCGGCCCTGGTCGGTCGTGCGGGTGGCAGCCACTCAATGTGTTCCTTTCACATCGATGTTTCTCTCTCTCTCTCTCCCTCCCACTCTACCTGAACAAAAAAATGGAAAAATGTCCTCGGGTGAGGATAAAAAAAATAAATAAATAAAATAAAATAAAAGTAATGAAAAAAAAATCTAGAATAAGTGAGTTTAGCATTGTTGCAGGATACAAGGTCAATGTACAAAAATCTATTAGAAGTGAACAACATAAGATTTTCTCCTGTTATCTTCTAGACATTTTATAACTATGAACATTTTTGTGTACGATATGAGGTAAGGGTCAATTTTCATATCAATATCCAATTGTTTTTATTTGTTGAAAAGATTATCTTTGTCCTTTGTCTTGCCTTGGAAAATATTTTTCCCTCACCAGAGCGATACATGTTTGAGAGGGGGAGAAACATACATAATTCCTTAACAGTTCAAGTTAAATTGATTATTCAGTAGGGAGAACCTCCAAATCTGTTACAATGTCAATAAAATGAGCTCACAGATGACCATATTCTGGCCTATAAAATAAGTGTAATTTGCTAAGGTCAACATTACAAAGAGTATGTATTCTAAAATTGTGTATGACAAAGCGTCAAACGACAATAATAGGATAGTTCTAACAGCAATAACAATGAAGAAAGGTTTTATATCTATCTTACCAGATTTTCTTTTTTCTGATAATTTGCTTGGTGTCTTGAAATTATTGATTTCTTCCATTGTAATAATCACTCTAGGTCCTATGATAAAAATAAATTGAAAGTTACAAAGAATACAACTCTCATTCATGAAGAAAAACTTCCTATAATACCATCTCTCATTTTATCATATCATTTTATCATAAAATTTGAGAACTGAAAAAGACCATGAAAAATTCTTAGTCCAATTGTTTTTCAGTGAGAAAACTAAAATCCAGAGAGGTACACTTACTTACCCAAAGCCCTATTAATAGTGATAGGGTTATTCTGTCTTAATTAAAAATATATGCACTTGGTTAAAAAACAAAAAACCACCTAGTACAAAAAGGTAAAGAGTTAAGTTTCCTTTCCACACTTCCTGGAAGTAGTTAACGGGTCTTTTATACCCTTTAAAGAAACTGTCTATGCAAGCAAGATTATTCATAATAGCCAAAAAGAAGAAGAAACAGAAGTAGCCATCAGATGATGAATGGATAAAAAAATATGGTATATAATACACATAACAGAATATTAATGAATAAAATGTATATTCTATACAACAATATTATTCAGTCATAAAAGGGAATAAAAAAATAAAGTTCTAATATATACAATATAAATAAACCTTGAAAACATTATGCTAAGTGGAAGCAGCCAGACACGAGAGCCCACTTACATAATTCCATTTACACAGTATGTCCAGAATAAGGAAACCCACAGACAGAAAATAGATTAGCAGCTGCCAGGAGGCTGGGGGGGAAGGAAGGATGTGAAACAGCAGCTAGTGGATGTGGGGCTTCTTTCTGGGGTGATGAAAATGTTCTAAATTAGGTAGTAATTTAATATATTCAACCCTGGGATTGAATATATCACTGAATAATATACTTTCAAAGGGTGAATTTTATGCTATCAATAAATTATTATAAAAATTTTGTTACCAATAAACAATTTTATTATATCAATAAACTATTATAAAAATTGTCTATGCAAATAAAATGTACATACTGCACATACATGCAAGTTAATCTAAGCTTTTTATTTTTTCGGTAACACATTTCTTAAAGTATCTTTTTTACCAAATTTTTACTTTAATTTTTCTTTTTTTTAAAGTTAGGTTTCATATTATTAGTGTTATTTATAGTAAAGAAACTGTTCCTACATGTCTATAAGCTCTTTTGATTTGTCTATTTAAAAAACTGGGAAGCAGAGAGAATATATGCTTTACTTTTTTTGTAGGGCCCTTCATAAACAGCATTTAAATAAAACTCTGTGCCAAGAAAAAAGAAATCACCTCAAAGGCTTTAATTTTGTATTAAGAAGAAGTTTGTTCACTTTTTTAAAAAATGTATGTAGCTACAACCACCACTGTCTTCAGTTTCGCCTTTATTTGGAACACTTAAGATGCCTTTTCATGAACTTCTAAACCACCCTAGGACTAAACACACACACAGATACTACTGGCAAAGCTCAAGTGTAGGGAAAAACAAAAGAACAAGAGAAAAAGTAAAGACAATTGAGAAAAGAGAAGCAAAACAGAAGGAAAACGCAGGATGTAAAAGAAAGGGAACGTTCTGATCAGATTATTCGTAAGGTCCTGCACATTTGACACCCTCAGGACTCCTGGGGGTAGAGGAACAGACTGTTGATCCTCTAATCCTGAAGTCTATGGAGGGCTGGTTGGTAATATCCTTCTTCTACCACCGGCTCACCTGAAAACTGGAAGCAACATCAGTGGAGGGATTCAAAGCTTTCTCACCCACCACCCTTCCCATTCCCACCAGAAATCCTTGCCCAGTTCGGGTCTCCCTGAAGAGCTGAAACTGAGACTCACGCGGCTGCAGTAATGAACTGCTTCCCCCAGGCACAAGGCCCGGTGATCGGTTCTGGGGCACCACTAAGATGTGCCTAAAGCCTGGGGTCTCTGGTCAAGCAGACACCCCCCTCCCCCGCTATCCATCGGCAACGCCGTTTATAAAACAATGGCAGTTTGCTGGGTCAGGGGTTCCCAAATCTATCCAACCGTCTTCTCCTACGCAAATTCCATTAAAAGCGCCGACGGCCAGGCTTCGCTTAGCGAAAGAACCCTTTCTTTCATGAAATCCCCATCCTACCCCGTGATTCAGATGCACACTCGAGTTTGGGGTCGCAAAGATGAATCCTAAGATAATTCCCGGTTTAACGCCACATTCCCAACGGCTACAACTTTCCTTCTAGGCCTCGAGCTCGTACAAAAGCAAACACAGGGACCACAGGTGGGGGTGGGGAACCCGACCCGGCACCCAGGCCGGGCCCGAGAAAAGCTCCCCTTACCCGGGCTGTGCAGCGCCGCAGTCACACTCCAGGTAAAAAAGGAGCCGGCTGACCACAGGTCCTGGCCACAGCTCTTAAAAATTGGTCCCGAAAGACCCCAGCAGGTCGCAGCGGCGACCTCAGCGTCCCACCTGCCAACCAAACCTTCCGCTACAGTCGTTGAGACTGGAATCCTCCTCGCTTTCAAAAGCGCGCGCACCGCTCCAACGTCGTCTGCAAACTACGGGGTGGCGCGAAGGACAAAACTAGTCATATTCGCCGCTCTTCCTTTTGGTCTTTCGTTGTATTCATTCCATTTTGGCACCAACTAGGGATCCTTTAAGATAAAGAGAAGAGAAGCGCCTGCGCCGGAAAGGACTAACTGTTTTTACAGCCACTGCCAGGCTTTCAGAGGAACAACTCTGGTTTCAAAGAATATATAGGCCTGTATTTAAGATGGACATTCTCCCCCAGTTACAAATACTCGGCTTAGAATATATGATGATTATTATATAAATTTTTATTGCAAATGTATTTGGCTTCAAAACACTATAAGTAAAAACGCATTAGCCTAGAGTAGCCATCGTTTTTTGGCTGAGAAGAAAAATAGATATTTAGAACCTCTGCTAACTTGGAATAACCACATTCAATTCAACATTTGCTCATTTAATCGACAAATATTTATAGAGCACCTACTATGTTCCAGGTGTGTATTGAATGCCCACTGCATAGGAAATACTATAGTAGTTAATACAAGAGACACAACAGTGATTAAGTCACAGAAGTCCCTCCTGCTTAGGAGGAGCTTAGACGCTGTAGAGTGGGGTCATGGGGGAGGGATGGGGAAATACCCTAAGAGCAGAAACACACACAACACTTCATAACACAAAAGAGACTTTTATGTAGGTTGCTATGATCATATGCCTCACTTTTCAAGTGAGGAAACTGGCACAGAGAGGTTAACTAATTTGCCTAAAGTCACAGAGCTTATAAAAATGGTAGAGTCAGGATTTGAACCCATGTTGAGCTTAGACTTCCTCTTTAACAAATGTGCTCAAAATCTCTTCCATCTTACACACACACACACACTTCTCCATCTCCAGAACCTTCCCTCTTCTAAGTATAGATGATTACATTGCACCTTCACTCTATTCTCATTCCAATTTTTGTGAAAGCATAATTTGGACCTCACCATCTTATTAAAAATATCTATTGATTTCTATACTTTTTTATTAAGTCCTGCATTTTTACAAGCCCTCTATTTTCTGTTCTTACTGGCTACTAAAATCCTACCTAAAGCCAGAGACCGAGAGCTTCCTAATTAACCACTGCTTGTGAAAAGAAACTCTAGGGAGATGATATTGACACAGGTGTAAGAAGAGGCAGAAAATATTCACAAGAATAAAGGTCCTTGGATAAAAACATACTCATAACCATTCTGTTCCCCATCTTGTAACCATAAAAGTACCTCCAGAGCTTATTCGTAGAAACATCAAAACTCCACAAGCTTAATGTTAGTGAAATGTAATAATTAATCTCAAAATCTTACATACCAGTTAGTTGTCATGGGAACAACTTCCAACCTGAATCCGTTATTTCTCCTAGTGTAGAAATGGCCTGGGTTTCTTGGCTTAAGCAAAAGAGCCCCAAACTCTGTATTTCACTCTTGGCTGATTGTGCTCACAGGAACATCAGCCTTATCACCTTTTTATGTCTTACACTCCAACTTCTGTTCCATTTATGGCCTCTCCTTTTGACTTTCAAAAGTCTAGTTTGAAGGAGGAAAAAAAGAATATTAACATTTCCCCTCCTCTTTTCTACTGCTATTACATATAAATTCTCTTTGAGATCATGTGTGTATTGTTGATTGGCTAGAAGAATGGTGAGACCATTTAGGGAAAAGGAAGAAAAAAAATAAAAATTTCAAAAGTTCTTCTTGTTACATCTATATATCCAACCAGTCAACTCAACATGTCCATAGGGTGCTGCTCAAGCATCCTGAAGCCATTGGGTCCACAGCTGAGGTTGCCCCCCCACTTCTCAACCATGCTTTTGGTCTGCGTTCCAGTTTTAGTGAATGGCACTTCCATCTACCCCCAGGGCATGAGCCAGGAACTTCCCTTTCCTTCACCCATCCAGAGTTCTGACAACTCTTCCTCATGCATCATCTAAAATCCCTTTCCTCCTCCCCATCCCACCTTCCTCTGCTTTGGACCATAAATTCTCACATCTCACTATTGCTGACTTCAGTAGCCTCCTGATTTGCCCCCCTACCTCTGGTCATTTTTCTCCTCCAGTGATTGCCACATTGCCACCTGGTTAATCTTTTTGAAATGTAATCTGGTCAGGTCACTCCATGCTTGAACTCCTTTATGGTTCCTCATGAACTTCAGGGTTAAAATAAACAAACAAACAAACAAAAAACCCTCTTAGGGTCTGACTCTAAGGTATCTCTAGCTTGGGTCCCTCCAGCTCCAAATCTGGTCTCTAGTTTTAGTGAGCTAATGGTGGTTCCCAGAGCACTCATGTTTTCTCATGTCTCTTGCACATGCGCAGATTTCCCCTTCTGCCAGGAAAGGTCTTTCCCCTCTTCCTGACTGGATTAGCATCTCCTCAGCTCTGAGTGCTGACCGGTGAATGCATGAAAACTTTGTCCTGCATGATACCTGGTAGTTTGCTGCCTACCCCTGACACATTAATACCCCTAGTCTAGGTCATTCCTCCTCCAAGGTCCCAAAATGCCTTACCATTCTTCCTGTCCCAGCAATATATCCCAGTGCATTGAAATGTTCTCTCTACTTCTGCACCCCTCCCCATCTCATTGTCAGCTCTATATCCCTCCTCCATCCACATGCCTAGGTGAGTGCTCAGGAATGTTTGGTAAATATGTGAGTGAATGACAAGATGGATAAACATTATTGAATATAGAGTTCCATCCATCCTTCAGTGACAAAGAATATGCCAATTGGTCTGAACTAATGTAATGTCTTAGCAATGTTCCCTGAATCAATGTTTGCTGACTGCTATGGATTGATTGTGCCCCACCCCCAAATTTATATGTTAAAGTCCTAGCTCCCCACTGTGATGGTATTTGGAAGAGGGGCCTTTGGAGATAATTAGGTTTGACAAGGTCATGAGGGTGGAACCCTAGTCTAATGGGATTAGTGTCCTTATAAGAAGAGACACCAGAGAGAGCACTCTTCCCCACCTTTCTCTCTCTGCCTTGTGAGGACACAGTGAGAAGGTGGCTATCTGCAAGCTAGGAGGAAAGCTCTCACTAGGACCAACCATGCCAGCACCCTGATCTTGGACTTCTAGCCTCCAGAACTGTGCTGTTGTTTAAGCCACCCTGTCTGTAGTATTTTGTAATGACAATCTGAGCAGACTAAGACAGTGACCGGTT